AGATCGCCTAGCTGCACTACGCCTACTTAACTTCGAATATTGTTTAGCACAGCTTAACTTAATATAAATATGTTTTTGAACAACTATTGGGTCATTAACTGATGGGTTTTGTGGCCTAATCCACTTAAACCCAGAAAACAATTCAGAAGAACCAATGTTATCATAGTCTAAATATGAATCCACAACAATTAAATTCTTACCACTAACCAAACATTTGCAAATTTGGCAACTGTTCTGGTTTATGTTAACTTTTACGCTTTCTTTTGCAATTTTAATTTTTTTAAGCAATTTTGAATTACAGCTACGAGCAGATGCAAATTTACGAAGTGCTATTTTAAGTTGTCTTTTTAAAATAAGTTGGAACTGCTCCTCCTCTCCTAGTCTAATACTCATAGTCTCTACTTGAGAACTTAATGAGTTACAATGTGTGTCAAGAGTCTTGTTTTTAGAATTTAAATCTGTAATTTCAGTTTCCAACTTTATTACCTGCATTTTTAATTTATTTATTTGCTCCACATATGTTTCTTCTTTAGAAGTTAATTGGTCAACTTGACTACTTAGTTCCTTATTTTTATTTAAAATTGAAAAATAATCTGCATCTGCTGATTTTCTTTTTTTGGTTTGTGAAGCTGGAGACAGTTGCATATTAAAAAACGGTTCATTTTTTAAAGAATTATTTTTATAATGAATTTTTTGGCGTACTAACTTTCTGCACATCAGGTCAAATTCCTCATTGCTAGGCAAAATAAAACCTATTGGCAAGATATAGCTCTTAAAAACTATATAAATCTTTTCTTAATTGAAAAACTGACATTAAAATTGAAATTACTTTGTTAGTGATCACTGCTAATTATTCGCTTAACTAAAGGAAAGTTACATTCATCTTTCCAACAATCTTCCCATTCAATATATAATTGCAAAACTTTTCTCTTTGCAGAATACATAGTTATAAAACAAACACTGACGTTACAATACAAATACAATACAAACAACTTAATCAAAATTATTATTTGACAAATAGATGCAATAGATGTAATAGGATTAACTAACTTATCTGATAACAGTCGAATTCTCCACGAGTCAAGAATATTTCGCTAAACTTTGTTTATTTTATACTTAAAATTTGTCTCGCCAAAACAGTAGTTCAGTTGAAATCGCTAAGATAATTGCTTGGTAACGCATTTAAGGTTACGTCATCGCTTTTTAATGTTTATAAAAATTTACGCGAAAACTGAAAATATTTGTTGCTAAACATGCTAAGTTTGAAAAGATAATAGCTGACATAGCTAGAGGTACAGAAAATAGGTTTTTTGTTTTCATATGCATAAAAGGTTAAAATTTCAATAACTTATGTTACTGATCAAAAATCTTAAATTATACATTTAAAAATAATAAAATTAAATATATATATGCAATAAAAAAATTTTTTTTTGACAAATACACACCAGTAACGTTAGAATATGATAAAATAGACACTCATTAGTAAGTGCTCTAAATTTCAACCGTTAAGCATGTAGCTATGTCAGCTAATCTGTGTTGGCCCAAGACAGGTTTTCATTAAAAATCTCAAAAAACAGAAAAGTGATCCCAAATCAATTTCAATATTTTAACAATATTTTATTATAGTCCGTTTAATGTAAATATTTTTTTAACAAGGAAAGATAGATCTTTTATTTATTTTTTATTGAAAGATGAAAGCATTTCCAGAAAAAAAATACTATTATTTTAAAGTTAGTGAATTTTTATACTTTTTATGCGGAAATACTTTTTTTTTTTGCTAAACTCATGACGTCATGCCCACTTTTATATAGAGTGAAACAGCCCTGTGGAAAACAAGACTCTGATAAGCACTTGTTAAATAGTTTTGAAAGGATAGACGACAGCTCCGGAGAACACTTCTGCAAGACAATAACAGGCATGTTGTCCGGGCCGCAAGCTGTAGAAGAATCTAAGCAGGAAATCACTTTAGATACAGAAGCTGGAGTGATACGGATGTCGAGCAGTGGATCAACCTGTTTGACGGCTATATCAGGTAGAACGCAACTAGTGGAATCAAGAGATGATATTGATGAAAAGTTCTTGGCAAACAATTCAGCTTTGTCTTATGATGAGGTGACATGTCTGAACCGTACAAAAGTACGGTTGATATTTAGATGAGGTGACAAGTCTGAACCGTACAAAAGAGGTGGAATTACAGACTTGCCCTTATTATTGATACTATTAAAGATTCTCCAGAAGTCACGAGAGCATAATTTTTGAGATGAAATACGAGATTTCATGATCTGAGAATAGCGGGCTTTGGCTTTAGATAAAACCTTTTTACAATGGTTCCTAGCAGTAATAAACAGACGTCTGTTTTCTGGAGAATTTTTTTGCTGATAGATGTGGTAGTAATGGTATCTGAATTCACAAAGGTATGTAAGAAGCACATTTTTCAACAGGAAGACGAAAGATTTCTTCCCAGGGGCAAATCACGGAAAAAGTCCCAGTCAGCTTTAAGATAGTTGTAGGATGTACTATGACAGGGGGATTCTGATAATAAAGAAGAATGAGATAATAGTTTTAGAGAGATCAAACTGTGATCAGAGGCACTTAAGAGTGAATGTGGAGAAACTGAGCACTGTAGAGTAGAGAAGGTAAATGATTCGGGTTGTCTGGAAAGCGAGTTGGAAAGTTGAGTATTTGAGTTAGGGATTGAGAAAGCCAAAAGTTGTGGGCCTTAATGCCTGCGGAGTCACTGACACTAGAGCCAAGCCATTCAGTGTGATGAACATTAAAGTCACCAACAACAACAATATTAGCTGATGGATAAAGAATGAGGGCTTGGTCAATATAATCAGAAATAACATCAAGAAGAGTGCAGTCTTGAGATGAAGGAGAGCGATATTGAACAAAGAGAAAAGTGATAGAGTGAAGTGGTGCTAAACAAAAGCACATAAAAGAGTAGTCTGTGGATTCAAACTTTGTTTCCCGACAAATGGGTGAATTCTTACGAATGTAAATGCCTAAGCCAAGCATGTGACTATTGGAGTCTTTACGAATTAAAGGAAGATAACCATCAACACTAAGATCACAAGATGAGACAGCCGAACTCAAATTAGTCTCACAAAGACTAAGTAGGTCTGGTGAACTTTGCAAGAGATAAGACTCAGCAGAAGAAAAGTTACTTCGAAGACCATGAATATTGGTAAATGATAGGTTTAGCGAACTTGGTGATGACTGTGGTTTTTTGTGTTTTATAGTTTTTGTTACTTTATTCATTTTAAAATTTCTTAAAGAACTTGACTCAAAACATAGATAGTACTCAGTACGCTGTTTTATAGCCCAAGCAATTGCCTCATTTCCGCTAATAAACCCTAAGCCGTAACAAAGGGCTCCAATGTGGCCTTGGCAATGCACACCAAAAGTACAAACAGAGACACCATCCATGCGCAACATGGCACTGTTAGTACTCTGATATTTTTCAGCTGTTAATGAAATCAGCCTCTCTGAGAGCTACCACAGAGTTCGGGAAACCTGACTACCAGCCGGCCTCAGAACCATATAACTGAGTTTTAGAGCTTTACCCTCATTTGGAGATAAAAGAATGAGTTGCCTAGTCATAAAAACAGAGCCACAAGCAAAACCCATGCATTGAGTCAAGAAGATCCAGCGTTCAACATCCTAAACTGGAAACAATGTATTAAAAATACATCTGCGGCAGCCTAATAGATGGAGAAGTGGTGCGAGGCTGGTCAACAAATAGAATCTGTTTACCCCTTAAGTCTTTGCCTAGGAGGCCTTCTACAAGACAGCAGCCGGGTGCATTTAACATCTGCCCAAGATGAGTATTTTTATCGAGTCACCATCTCTAGCCTTTACTCAACCAAGAGACCCAACGCAGAGAGTGTTTTATGTCGGAGTTTGCATCTCCTAGCCTTTGCCTAAAAAGGCATATCCTACAAGGCAGCAGGACATAAAGCAGATTGTACTGGGTTACATGTTACCAGTGGCAGGATAAACCTGACCTGACTGCTAACAAACTTTTGTGCTGTAACAAACTTTTGTCTGCAACAACTTGTATCACCATCAGTGGGTTTATAAGGAAGCCATCACATTCACACTCGAATTATTGACATTTTAACTTTAAGAACATTCCATATACAGCCTGTAAAACAATGATAGCAAACACCACTGCGCAGTTTTTTAATTCAATTGGTGCAATTAAAGCTGATGTCTATTGTAATAAGGATGAACTAAAATACTTATCAGGAGCAATACAAAGTGCAAATATTGATTTGATACCATCAAATCAATAAGATTGTATCAATATCTGGAAAAAGACACTTTGAAACAACCAAATTAGATACTTTACTCTTAAGTGTTTATTCCATCTGCAGATAACCTTCATTTTCTTCAACTAATGTTGTATTTCCTGAGAATTTACAGTTTCCATGATGCTATCCTTGTGTTTCCACTTGCCATTCCAAATTTGTCTTTTGATGGTATTTCAAGTCAGCTAACACAAGAAACTAGTTAAACTTTAATATCTTAAAAAATCTACATAACCATATTTCAGGCTTATCTTTATTAAAGTATTTGTACACAAACTAATAAACAATAATATATATTAGGATTATTCAAAAATTTTTTTGTTTATCTTTATTATAATTCAGTTATAAAGAAATTGAGATAAAATTGAAAGCCTATTTTGATAGTTATTTTTGAGTCAGTCAAAGTTGAAATAATAAAATATTTTAGAGATTTTATTATTATCTAAAGTTGGTTTATAAAAAATTTATAAAAAAGTTATAAAAATTTATAAAATTATTTATAAAAAAGTTAATTCAATTAAATATTAAATATGCCAAGTTTAGAGTAACTTTCTGGTTTTAAAAAACTTAGTATTTATTCATCTTAAAGTTTCATGTTTTTTTGTGTGCTTGCTTTAGGTTAAGGTTTAGCCATAGTGGCTTGAAATTCATAATATTTAACTTCATCTTTTAATTTTAGGTAAATAAAATTATATTGTTATGCAGTTTAAGCAACTGTTTTTATCACTTTATGTTCCCTGTTTAACAGGGCACATTAAGTGACAAATACAGTTTGTTATTTTCTTGTCTGTTAATTTCTGTCGGAAAATAACAGACAAGAATATAATATTTTAAAATAAAATTTTAATTCAACACCTTCAAAATTATGGATAGCAAAAATATAAAAAATTATGGATAACAGTGTTATCCATAATTTTGAAGGTGTACATCCATATTTTTCTTTTTCATTTACAAATATTTTTCATATTGTTTGTTAGAACTAGTATATTTTTAGATGTCTAAAGTTAAACTTCCTCAATCAGATGTCGATCTTCTGATGACTTATTTTTCTGTACCAGTTATACAATTGCTCAATAGAGTTAGTAATGTTTTTGTTTTGAAAGAACTGAAGAATGCACTAACTCAATTTTCATCATTAAAGGTTATTGATAACGACCATTTTGGTAAAAGGGAGTTCTTCTCACGACTCAACATTACTTTAAAAAATCTCTATCCTGAGTTCAAGGATGATTGGGTAAGATAAGTAATTTTTTACTTTTTTTCTACATTAACTACATTTTTTTTTTTTACTAAATTATAATAATACAGTCCAATCATGCTTATTTTTGCAAAAAAAAAATTATATAAAAAAGACAAATTTATGTAAATAGAATACATTGCATAAACAATAGTGTTGTAGGTGGCAAGTATAGGCATATTTTGTGTTGCCACTCTAGGCCAAAGTCACTTCATTTAATGATTTAAAAATTTTAAAAATTTTTTTTTTAGTTTAATAAGTTTTATGTAAACTTGCGTATTGTTTCTGTTTTTATGTGAAAGATTTTATTGTTGCCAAAATAGATATTTTTTAGTTAATGACACTATTTCTTTTTTCGAAATTTTACCGTTAACTAACTAAAGTTAACTGTATAACAGATCAATCTTGGAAAAGCTGTACCATCTGTTGCTGTATTGAGTATCCTGAACAGAAATCTATTTTACCACCAAATATTCGAACAAATACCTCATAGACTCAGAATAGCTCCATCTCTTCTTATTGATGAATTTAGACGATTCTTTCCCCAATATGAAAATGTTGTCAGCAACTCAAGATTGTTTATTAAGGCTGCATTTAAAGATAATACAAGTATTGTTTCCAGTTTAATGGAACTTCAAAATATGTTTATATCTCGAAAAAGCAAAGATATTGTGTGCTACACAAATATTATGCATGGAGGAAGTTATAGCATTAGTAATAGCAGTATATTATCTTAATGATTTATGCTATCCATCTTGCTTTGCCCAATTACTTGGGATTTTTCAAGAAACTATTCTAAAAGTTAACTACCCTTTTAAATCAAAGGCTGCAGCTATGCTATGCTAAAATTCAGCAGCTCATAATTTTTTTTAGTTTTTTTATGCATATAAAAATTGATGTTAAATCTTTGAATTTAATTATAAATTATATTCTGGTCTTTTTTTATATATAAAATTTGTTGACAATTTAAAAGTTTAATCTAATTGAAATTTGATTATAAAAGATAATGGAAGTTAGATAATGCATTTGATCTTCTTAAGAAGATCAAATGCATTATCTATGACTTTGCTAGTTTATACATTTATTATGATTAAAATGTTGTAATAATAAATATGGAATGTATTTTATTGTATAGTAATTCAAATTACAAAAATATTGTAATTTGTTAAAGTATTTATTCAAAATATTGGGTACATTATATTATTTTACATAGTTTTTTATTTAATTTTTTTAAAATGATTTTAAGTTTAATTGACAAAAAAAAAATCAAAACAAAATGAAAATTTACGGAACCAAAAGATGCACAAGGCCAAAAGTAACAAGACCAAGGCCAAGGCCAAAAGTTACAAGGCCAAGGCTAAAAGTTTTGAGGTCAAGACCAAGGTTAAGAGTTTCAAGGCCAAGATGTACGCAAGGTTTTTAGACTTAAGACTTCAATTTTTGGAATACGTTAAGGCCAATTCTTCACAAAACTGTAAGTAGCAAGTACTGTGAAAATAAAACCATATTTTGTAAAAATAGACCAAGTTTATGTGCAGAATTCAAAAAAATCAATATAAAAATATGAATTTTTTTTTGGCTAAGGTCAAAATAATCAAAGCCAAGGCCAAAATTTTCATGGCCAAGACCAAGGCTAACAGTTTCAAGGCCAAGGCTCAAATTTTGGGCCTTAAGGCTAGACCAAGGACTAACAACTCTGCGTTCTTGTCGTATTTATCATTAACAATGATTATTATTATTAAGTTTCAATATTGAAATTTAAATTTTTATCATTTAGTAAAAGCCAAAACAAATTAGTTACAGTTTTTGTTTTAAAATAATATACAGTTTTTCTTTTTTTCTTTAGATAAAAGGGGGAGGCGATACAATGCTCCATTAACTAAAAATATAAATACTTTGATGCATCTTGTAATGTGGTAAAAAAAATTTATATTAATTTCTCTTATTTTAAATAGTATCAATTTAAATTTATTTAAATTGTATTAAAAATTTTTATTTTTTTTAGGTTGGAGTGGCGGGGGAGGGAACGGCAGCGAGGGTTTACGCCCCTCACCCTAAGTCAATGTGTATATACCATTAGTGTATGTTATAAAGAAGTGAATTATAATTTTTTGTATTTTATATTAGATTTACTCATTAAAAAAAAAAAAAATATATATATATATATATATATATATATATATATATATATATATATATATATATATATATATATATATATATATATTCATATCAGTTATTCATTTTTGATAAAAAGCTGTGTTATACCATAACACCGCCATCCACCTTTAACTAAAAAAAAACACCTTTTTATATTTGGCCGTGGTCTGAATGCAAATTATAACAGTTTCTTGTATATAAAAATTACAAATTTCATTAAAATAAGCTTGCTTTATTTAAATGAAATTTGTAATTTTAATAAATTTAACTTTATTTTAAAAAATGAATTTTTTGACAATGTAGAGGTGATTTGGTGCCCCCTCTAGCCCCTTGAATATGTCCTGTTAGTTAAAACTATTATAAATTTGTAGCCCACTCTTACAATTTCTTTTGATACCAAGTTATAGGTGCTTTGATAAGAATTGACAATATTATAACAATTTACGCAAAGAAAAACTTAATTTTGACCACAGTTTCTCAAACAATTCCATATATCGAAAAATCGGTACTTAAACCGTTATAACTTTTGAAAGAATGGTTCGATTTTGATAATTTTTTCACCATTAAAGTACTATACAAAAGTTTTTCCAATGATATATAACAATCTAGTAAGTAATTAATCTAAATTTTTATGTAACATACCTAATGTCATGAGCTCAAAAAATAAACTTTTTGAAGGAGAATTTTTTTGCCTATGTGATTACCGTTTAAGGTGAGTTTCCACTCATCCGTTTTTCTACGGGAAAAGGAAAGGGAACGGAGTGAGCATGCGTAATAAAAGTTTTTACTTGTCCGTAAGGAAACTGCGCATGCTCACCTGATTATTTTTCCGTTCCCTTTCCCGTAGAAAAACAGATGAGTGGAAAATCACCTTTTAGTCCCTATTGATTAATTAAATTTAATAATCCAAATAAAAATATATTATTATAGAGCTATATAGTTAAACCATAAGTTAATATTTGATAACTATTATTAAATAGTTATAGTTATATCGAATAAGTTGAATAATTGACAACTTTCAAACTGTGTTTTAAAGCATTTTGAAAATATCTTATATTCACGCATGCGTAAAAGTAAGTCCAATTGATCTCCGAGATCATGCTATTTTGGACTTGGACGTTTTTGTACAAAATGGACGTCCAAAAAACGTACCATTTTGGACTTGGAAAAATGGACCTAAAGGGTACGTACTATGGACGTCCAAGAACGTCCTGTGTCCATTGGGAACTGCAAGGTTTCAGCGACTATTGCAACTTAAAGACGAAGACACTTTTTTTTTTCACAGAGTAACAGTGTTTTATTCTGCAACTTCATTAATATAATATATAATAGTAAAATTGAAGTAAATTCATCTTTTTTCATTTTTCTTTTTCTTTATGTAACAAAAATTAGGTAAATAATTGTAACATATTGTGTTACAATTATTTACCTATATATGTTATGTTATGTTCCGTATGTATGTTAAAAACATATATGTTACATGAATATTAAGATTAAATGTAATTTTTTTATTTAAATAAAAAAAGATGGAATTACTTTAATTTTAAATATTAGTTTTAAATATATATTTTTCAAATTATAAACTCACAGCTGCATTGTTCATACTTACGCCTAAAACGTTAGTTTTATGGGTTCTGATATTTTTAAATAGTCTTTTTGGTTTAGTCTGCCGTTTGTTTTCCTATTACATAACGGTGCTAAAGTTTACTACAACAACTTTCTAATCTATTGAGTATTAGGCCTTAATATCAAGGTGACGCTTAGCTCTCGTTATAAAATCATATTTTAAATAGATCAATAGTTTTGATATAAGGTTTTAAATTTTTAAAATTAAATATATATGGCAAGGTTGCAAACTTGAGTTCTCATAGTATCTCCGTTAAGTGTAAATCTTTCTGCAAAGTTTTGTATTGGTTACCATTGGTTACCAATCAAAAACATTTCAGATTAAACAATTATAAAATAATTTGTTTGCTTTTTTAAATTTAAGAATAATTTTTTACCAATTAGCAAAGTACCAAAAAAAGTTAATGCGAAAGTCATTTAATCCTAATAATCCTAACCTTAATATGATCTTATATGATATGATTAATATAATCCTTAATATGATCTTATATGATATGATTAATATAATCCTTAATATGATCTTATATGATATGATTAATATAATCCTTAATATGATCTTATATGATATGATTAATATAATCCTTAATATGATCTTATATGATATGATTAATATAATCCTTAATATGAAAGTCATTTAATCCTAATCATTTAATCCTAATCTAATCCTAACCTGGAGTGAAAGTCTTTCAACTAAAACCAATTCATTTAACACTTTAAAAAATTCGTCTTTTGTTAATTTGCTGAGGTGGAAAACATTTTAACTTCTGTGAATAAGAGGAAAAAAAGATTTTAACTTAGACTGAAAATTTTCAACACTTAGCACGGGAAAAAGTTATGCATTGTTATGCATACAATATTTGTTCCTTGATTTAGATCTATGACAAATTGAGAATAGCAAACACAAATATAAAGCATAATAATTATTATTTGCAGCTAATTATGAACATATAAAGTATTTGCTTACGATTTTTTACCCTTCCCAAAATTACGTAATTAGTTAAATAACCCAAAAAAAATAGTAACAAAAATTGTAATTATAATAACTTGTAAATTAAACGCCTTATTAAACCAAAATATCGTAATGCGTTTTTTTTTCATATTATTAATAAAATATAACAACTCAAATAATATTACGAATTTTATTCCAACGATGTGCTCAGACACATTTCATAGACGTCAATTGCTACACTTGTAAAATAATATTTTCTGTGTCTAAAAAAAATAACTTTTATGACTTAAGATATGACTTTTTTTTCAATAAAACTATATTTGTTAGTTCAAACAACATCATTAGAAAAACTCGTTAGAAAAATACTTCCTTATACTTTGGTATAAACGCTAGTTTGAGTGAAATATTTGTGCCTAAGCATAATTTGGCATCCAGCTATCAGTGTACACCAAAGCTTTTGTACACCGCATATGCTATGATCTGCCTCAGTGTCGCCGACTGGCATATTTTAATGCCAAATTTAGTAAAATTAGCAGTATTTAAACATGTTGGCATTTTTTGACATTTTGGCATTATTTTGGCATTTTAGCATTTTTAATATTCTTTTAACAGAATTTGATCTGAAATTTTCTTTAACTCAGCTTTTTAAATATAAGACTTATTAAAGTGAAAGTTAAGGGGATATAGTTATCTATTTAAGAAATACATAAATAATTTGTTAAACGTCGTTTTTTATTCAAAAATATATAAAAAAATATGTTAAAACTAATGAATATATGACTTATAAATTAAATTTATAAATTAAATTTATTGAACACATAGTTAATAAAAGAGGTTTAATGTATTTTTATAAAGTTTTTCTACTGTTTTAAAGGTTGGCATTTTATTTGACATTATTGATAAAAATTTGGCATTTTTTAAACAAGCATTTGGCATTTTAGCGAAAAAAAAATCTGGCAACGCTTATCTGCCTTTTATATTCTTTAAAAGCAATGTATCATAAACACGCTGCACATTCTTGAGTCATATATTTGCAGGAGGGCTTGCCTTACGCAGTGTAACACAATACGTTTGTATTTTTACTAGTTTAAAGTACGTAACTGTTGGCTTAAAAGTTTTAAATAAATAAATTTATAAAAGTTAATAACGGTTTTTTAAGGAAACATTTATACGCTAACATAAACTTTTAAAAATTCCGGAATACCAACAACATTTTTGAACGGGCAAAAAGAAAAAATCACAAAAAGATTCTATGTTTAGGGTAGTAGTAAGTAGTGCGATGATAGAATGATTCCGAAAAAAAAGTACTAGAAAAAAGATTTGAAGAGATCATTGCATGTGAGGAGCTTACTACTAGCCTAATGCTAATTTGGAATCTTTTTGTATTTATGTCGTGACAGTCCTTGGGTAGATGTCTTTCACCTCTCTGCGCTTCTTACGTAGCCGCCATGATCCAGGCAGGTATGAAAGCTTTCGTTTTCCTGCTCACCGGTTTTAAGTCACGTCTCATTCTACTCCATGTTTTACACTTTCTTGTGCAGCTTTTCTTCTAATTCGACTTTCGAATCTAATGGCCATACTCTTTTTGCTATTCCAAATAAACAGGTTAAAGCGATTGTTAGACATACACTTAAATCAGTGAAAATTTTTGAGATTTATAAATCATCTTTCCAACCCCATGTATTAAATATATCCTAAATGACCAAAACTTTTTTTCATTTCCAGTTTCTTTTGGGTACCTCAAAGTTCTATCCTTAGTTCTGTGTTGTTTCTTATCTACATAAATGGTCCTTTTATTGTGCATACAATTTTTCAAAATTATTTGAAAAGTTTATTGCTTTGAATAACGTTAGGGCTGGGGTCTTTTTTTGTCAATCTTTTGTTGTTGCTAACTTTATATTTATATTAAAATTCTTTTAAGCTACCATTGTTACACTAAATGAAAAATTTTGTAAGTTTTAACAAAAGTGTGATGAAAATATATTTAATTATTCTAGTTAATTACGTACTTTTATATATGAAATTTTACAAACTATTGTCAATAAATGAATAGTTGTGTTGGTGTAATGAGTAATTAGGCTGGTGTAGTAAGTAGTCAAGACTTGTGCGAATGAGGGAGGAAGGCTATGGGGTGAGACACCCAGTGATTTTATAGTCGTCAAATTTGACCCTTTTAAACAAGTCAGTTGGCAAATGTAGACCTTTTAGGTCAGTCAGTCGGCAAATTTCAAAAATAATATGAACCTTTTTCTCTCTTTTATTTGGTCAGCAAAAGTTTTGATAGCAACCCCTCTTTCCACGTGATATTTACTCGCACCGGCTCCATAAGTAGTTGTTTTAGTTTTTGTGAGTAATAACCTTATGAAAGCTTCTGTCACTTATTTACATTTCTTGATTTTTAACTAACTCGGTTCATTCGCTTAACTCATACATATTGAAATAAGAGATGTAAGAGATATCTAAAAATTATGTTATTATGTATGAGTTTTTATTTATTTTTTTATTTTTGTTATCTTTTTCAGAATCTAATCACTAGAGATTAATTAAGACAAAAATGACAAAATTAGAATGTCTTTTTTGAGAATATTATTTCCTGTAAAGTTGCTCAACTTGCCAATGAATCAACTTAACTCTCTTGTCTAAACAAAAAGTCTTTTTTTTTTCAATTGCTTAGAAGAGGCAGCCTATTTTGAAGTTAGTCTCTCTTCCTTGAAAAGCTTAGGACTTACAGTGGCTAGTGAATTTTAACTCCAAAAAAACTTGGATTGCTATTAATTAATATAGGAGTGTTGAAAAGATATGGCAATACTTTCAACATTCCTATATTAATAAATAGCAACCCTCTCACTAAGTACTCTTCTTTACGTTTTCTTGGATTATCACTCACTACTGACTTGTCATGGAGACCATATAAACAATCTTTTGCAAACTAGCATCTGCTAAAGTTGATTCTCTTTTCGTGCTTGCCATGATCTTATTCTTGATAACAATCTTTACTTTTACAAATCTCTTATTCGCCCCTGTATGAAATATTCTGTTCATATTTGGGCTAGTTTTTCTAATGACGCTCATTTTTTTTCTAGACAAGGTCCGAAAACCCATTGTAAATGCAGTTAGACCTGTTTTATCTCCTTAGCTTCCCATAAGGAAGTGACCCCGGCTGAAAATGATACTTTTTGCAAACCCAGTCCCGACCCCGGAAAAATTACAAGATTTAGCAAGAGTTGATAGTCTTGGCTAGATAAAACTTTATAGTACTTTACATAATTTAATCAAATATTTACATTTACTATTTATTAAATACTAGCATATATTTATATATTTTTAAACTCTTATTTACTTCCAACAAGGTTGCAAGCAACCACTATTAATTTATGAGTTGTTTTAAAAATAGAGGATAGGGTTAAAAAGTTAGGAAATGGTTAACTAAAGACATAAAAATGTGTAGGTTGTGTATAAATGGAAAACATAAAGATGGGTAAGAGTTAGAAGGACATTATGTTTTGTATATATATATATGCATATATATATATATACAAAACATAATATGAGTTTTAAATAAAAAAAAATATACTTTAGGATTTTTAAATGCTTATGCAAACCCAATCACAAACCCTGCCCTAGCTATATTTTATCAAATACGGCCCCGGCCCGATCAAATTTCGACCCCAGTCACTTCCTACTTCCATCATTGAAAGATTGCATCTCTTCCTCATTTTCTACTAATGCTATCATGGTTGCTGCTCAAAGTTGCTATCTTCTTAGTTACATCAACAAAAACTCATCATCGTTTGACTCGTCATTCAGTAAAGTTGCATCCATTTATTCATTTAGTTTTTTTTCCCCACTTCAATACTCTCTAACTCTCTGTCATCTTCATGTTTTCCTAACTCTTAGAATCTTAAACTTTTTAATTCTTTTTTTAACCTTTACCTTGCTCCTTAACACTATTCTTTGTTTTCTAGTAGCTCCTAACTAAATAGTGGTTGCTAGCAGCCTTGTTGTGAGACAATTAAATTAAAAAAAATAAACTTGATACAGTGGCGGATTTTAATGTTGATATAATTTTATAAGAAGGAAATTCTCGGTAGTAAATTCCGCTATAAAATAATACAGAATACTTTTTTTAAAAAACTTTTTTCCTTAAGATTGTTAAAAAAAAAAAAAATGTAACAACTTTTTGAATTTATATGCGGTAACTAATACCGAGATATTATCTCAGGCAAAACAGTACAGTGGCACTTTTCCCTGAGGTACATATTTTATTATGGAAATCAATATAAACGTATTGCGTTCATCCTACTATTACAATTTTAAAACGAAATGTTGACGTATTAAATCAAGTTTGCTTAAATAAATTCCTCAAATTTATTTCTTGTTTAAAATAAATTTAAACAAATATTTACCAGAAAAAAAGATGTTGACAATTGAATCAGCGGTGGAGTTTATTTCATTAAAAAATATACTTTAAAAACCGACGTATTAAAGTAGCGTTTTTTTTTAATAATGCAAAATGATTGGATGTTGTTTAACTTTACAACGTCATTGGAAGGATTATTTTGTTTCAAGGGAATAAATTCAAGTTAAATTTTTGACTAACAGGATATGTATGTTATGATGTATTTATGATCGACTGGAAAAATGAACGACTTTTTTATTTGGTTTTTTTCAATAGTTTATTTGGTGAATGTATTTTGCGAAACCAGTAGTTTAGATGATAGAACTACTTACACACAAGCAATATTAGATTTTTTTAAAAGCGAAAAAAAACTTAGTCTGTATGGAAAATATGGGAACGATAGTCCAAAGTTACCACGGAATGGGCAATTGTTCTATTTAAAAAATCAATTATGGTGTTCTTCGTTTGGAAAAATAAATAATATGGGTAACTCAAAAGTTATATTAATCCCTGTTGGAAATTGTACATTCCAAACAAAAATTGAAGTTGCTGTAGCCTACAATGCTACAGCTGTAATCTTTATTAATAATTATAATGATGAACCATTTTATGAAGACAATAATGAAAAAATTGTTTCAGTAATTATAAGCAAAGAAAATGGAGATAAATTGACTCGTTTATATTATGATTATGATGAAAAAATAGATTGTAATATTAATCCTGGGACTCATTATGTAGATAAACGATGGAAAGTTAGTAAAACTTCAGTACTTTTTGTGCTAGTTTCTTTTATATTATTAATGTGCATATCACTTGCATGGTTGGTGTTTTATTATGTTCAAAGATTTCGTCACATTTATCATAGTGATAGAAAAGAGGTAAAGTTAAATGGAGCTGTTAATCCTAATTGTATTTTTATCTAGTTTATATAATTCAGGTATATGTGTAACAATTTTCAAATTGTCTAAATATTGCATTGTTTTACATCTTTGGAAAGAATTTTAAGTTGTTAATACAATGAAAAAAAGTCATATAAGTTTGGTAATTATACAAGAAGTAGTCATTTAAGTAATAAATTCTATCACATGAACTTAAGAAAGAAAATTGTAACCAACTCAAATTTTTTTTTTCAACATGCTGTAGTTTTTTTTATTTTCAATTAAGTCATAAAATAGAAATGGTGCATCACTTAGTGAGAAATATGGGCATAGAAAATAGATATGTAAGATTTAAAAAATAGTTTAACATATATTTGTTTCTAATGCACTTCCGAAACAGGAATGTCCTGGAGATTTATTAGTCTTTAATACTGATAAAATAATATAAAAATGTTTATAACTACAAAAGAACCGGCTATAATAAACTTAGTTTTATCTTTTTTTTAAATAAAATCTAATTTATAAATAATTTTAAAAAAGAACATAGTAAAATATATTTTTACATCACAGATGCCAAATACGCTTTAAAAAAAAAACAGTCACAAGTCAGTTTACACACCATGTTTTATTTAAAAAAAAATCATCTTTTGCATAGTACTATTATAGTTAAAGTTCTGATTATAAACTATTGTCTGTGATTATTTAATTAAGCAGTTAACTTCTTCCAATGTAAATAAATTTATTTTTCAAAATAAATAAATTTATTTTTTAGCTTGTCCTTATTGGTAGAGACATTTTAGAATGTTTACAGAAAGCAAAGTAGATAAAATTCAAAGTATTTACTGTTATCATTTTTTTTTTTTTTTTTTTTTCATTTTTTTTAATTATTTGTTGTTAATGTTTCTAAATTTTATTATTAGTATTTATTTTTCGCATTATATTTAGCAATAATACGTATTAACATATAAAAAATTTATTTAATAAATTTTAAAGTTAATTATCAAATGTAGGTTATTATATTAGCTGTAATCCTTAAATTGTTATTATAAGATGTGTGATAGGAAAGTAGTCAATATATTTACTAATTGAAAATTTTTAACACTAAGCTAATTCATGAAGATCCACTGTAATCAAATCTTTATATAAATAAAAATGTTGTAGAAGTTTACTAATATTATTCATCCATAGATTCTCTAGATGTTTTGTGTATAAATTTTGTTATCAAACAAGTTAACAAAATTACATTCATACAGGAATACTGAATTTTTGAGAGTTTCTGTATTCCAATCAGCAATCTACTGATTCCATAAAATGATAGACACCATTGGGTATACCACCCAAATACCTGAAAATGATGGCATAATTGCTCACGATAATATATCAATCAAAGAAGCTAGATTTGCCTGTTATAGCAATAATTGATATATATTTAGTATTAATACCTCATAGAGTTGATGTTTTGAGGTCTATTTTGAGATATCTTAGAAAAAGTATTTGATCCTTTAACGTTTAATATTTAGCTTTCATTGCAGTTCAAATTCCACTTTAGTCTTTATTATTTAAACATAAAAATATCTGGTTTTGTTGTATAAAATTTTCAAACGGGATAAGTTCATGATATTTTTGTGTATTTTAATTACTTTTATAGCAATGAATTTATTATGTACCTAAATTATAAAACATTTCTTTTGTTTTTTATGTATGTCTATGCACACTGTATATCTTGTTTTCTTTATAACTCCATTGTAAACTTGTAAAATTATTAGAAAAACATTACTAACTACTTTGAAATAACACAGAACAGAAGGTTTACTAGCGGAAGAAAAATGAAGAAAGTTAAAAATATCTGAAATTTTTTAATTTTAAAACAACCAATTCAAATAATTTCAAACCGAAACCAATATAATATATAACAAAAAATTTTATAAATTAAAAATTATAAAAACATAAACTATTTTTTCACAAACTACTATTCATTTATTTAGTGTAAATATAAGCAATTTTAATGTTGATGTTAACTATATTATTTTTGATTGTTACTCAACAGCTACTACGTATTGAAGGAAATTCTAAAAGCTGTTATTCAATCTCAGTTAAATATAAAACCATTGAAATAATTAAATAATGTCATTAACTTATGAAGACATTGCTAAAGACACTTTTGAAAGTTCTGGCTGTAATGTAGAAAACTGCAATTTCTGATTTCCAACACTGTTAGTAATTTAGAAACTCTAATGAAATTCTTGGAATCAAATGTTTAAAAAATGTTTTTGCACCTTTTTAAGACCTTAAGCACAACTAATTTGTTTTTATTTTGTTCACAACTAGTACCAATGCTGCTGAGCAATCTTATTTCTTCATCTAATCACAGAGTACTATTACTTTTTTGTTTTTAAAATTTGGTTATTAATTTGAGTTTTCTTTTATTTTCTTTTACCCTCGGTAAAAGAAAATAAAAGAAAACTCAAATTAGGTATTAAAAGTAAACATCAAAGTACCATCTTACTTTGATGTTTACTTTCAATTACCTTATTTTATTTTCACCACTATAAAGCTTATTTAAGCAAAAAAGTTTAATGATTTTATGCTAATTCTCAGGTTATGTAAAAAAATTTAACAAAATATTAATAAACTTTCAGGAGGCTTTATAAAACTGTTATAAAAAATTTAGTAAAATGTATCATTTTGGTGGTCAAGTTTTTTAAAGAAATCTTATATTAATAATAATATAGAATTAAAGTTTGTGACTTTCTGACTTTTTATTGTATATATTGATCAATATATTCATTAAAAAGTTATAAATACAATACAAAGTTGGGTGATACAGGTTTGTTTTTACCACTGATTATTGATATTTTTTTAAAGAATATCTCACATTTAATTCTTATTAATAATGTTAAATGACATAAGAATAAGTTTGATGTTTATAATGTTATATAACATAAGAATAAGTTTGATGTTTACTATGGCATAAGAAATTCTTTAATTGTTTCTTTATTGGCACTGTTTATCTTATCATTATTATTAATTATAGACTTATTATTAAGGTTATTGGTTTTAATATACAGTCATCAAGGTTATTGGCAGTATGTGTTGTTTGTCCTTTAAAATATTTTTTTGTTTTTAATCTTTGAGCATATTAAAATGATATTTGAAATGATAATTGTATTCACTGGGCATATATCATATAATAACCATTGATTAGATATGTTAGTTACTGAATAATTTTAGTTTATTAACATTTATAAAAGATTAAAATACAGAAGCCTTGAAAAGCCTTAGATAGTTTTATGATGTATAGTATTGTATTGTATTAGTTTTTTTTAATTTTGTGTATATCAACTCTATGTGACATTGTGTTATGCATCATAAACTCACAGGCCTGCAATAGCTTTGACAGATAGAAAACATACTTTTCAAACTGAAGTAAACAATTTATATTTTTATAGTAAATAAAGTTGTATGCTTATTGCCTAAAAATACTTATGTCTTTTGAATCATTTTTTAATTATTTAAATTTTTCTGACAGTTTTCTAGACAAAAACATCAACACTGATAATCACTTGATCTTCTTGGCTTTATTCATATGTTTTTGCTTATGTCTCCTTAGCTCTTGGAATTAAGAAAAATGAGTTTGGCAATATTTTGCCGACTTTAGTCTGTTAGAGGTCGGCATTGCTAAATACTGACCCTAATTCCAAGGGCTGCCTCCTTTAGGGTGACTTAGTCATAGAGTTCATGGAAATCATGGAAATGCCATGGAATTTCATTTGGTCATGGAAAAAGTCATGGAATTCTTAAATTTTTATTGAAAGTAATGGAAATTTCAAAGAGCTTTTTAAAATGATCTGCTAGTTTTTTCTGCTAGTAATATTTTTAAGATATTTGCAAAGTTACTAGTATGTCTAGTCTAAAACCTTTTTGAAAGAGATATTATTGCAGTGTAAGTTATTGATTATCATTTTATTGCAATTAGTCAGCTCATCCTTTTCAAAAGATAGTTCAAGTTTTAGTATTTATCAAAATCAGATAAATAAATAAAAAAATATGCTTAAATTTGTATCAATCAATCATTGAATTATGGTTAGGTCAGGTCACCTTGCTACTGGTAACTTGTAATCTAATACAACCTGCTTCATAGGGGCAGTTAAGATTCATTAGCTGTGGTAAAGACAATTTAGGAAAAAAAACAACCCATAGTTTAATTCTAGGTAAGGGTAGGAGTAGCATATAATTACATATTAATATATATTACTTATATAAATTTTTTCAGATGTAACTACATCTGGAAAAAAAAAATTGATTAATAATGCATTATTTTAACCAGATGTAGTTACACCAGGGCCGGATTTAGCAATTTTAGTGCCACAATCCCACATCGGTGTCGCCTTCTGCCCGGGGCCCCTGATTTTTCGCTGACTGTGACCGCTGGTATGTTCAATATTATGCAAAGAAAACAGTTGTTAACAAATATGTTTGTAGTTTGTACTACTATCACTCATTTAAAACCTACAATAAAGTATTTTTGTATTAAAATTAATAGTTAATAAATTTTGAAGTAATACTAGACAAAATGTATTTTTAATTAGATGAAAAAATCAAAAAGATATTGTCATTTACATTTTAAAGTTTTTTTTTCTAGATATACATCTAGCAAAGTCTTTTAGTATATAGATGTAAATAAAAATGATTAAATGATATAAAACAAAAATGTAATTTACATAAAAATTAAAAAATTATGCAAAATAAGGGTAAAAAACAACAAACTTAAGCTGTAAGCTCATATAAATAATTCCTTAATATGAGAATCAATAAAAATGATAAAACAAATAATAAAACAGCTTTAATAATAGTTTCTTAAATTTGTTAAAAAATATATTTCTTGAGGACTTGTGGTGCCCCCAAACGCTTGGTGCCCAAGGCAAATGCCTTGTTTGCCTAATGGTTAATCCAGGCCTGAGTTACAAATAGGAATTTTTTCAGATCTAACTATATCTGGAAAAAAATTTTCCAGATATTATTGGTCTTGGAGAAAAATTATCAGATGTCGTTACATCTTTCTAAAGATTTTGTTAGGGGTCGTTAAATTTTCAGATAGTATTGGACAGATGTTATTAGAGTAAAAGAAAAATACAGATGATCTTGGACAAAAGTGTACAGATGATCTTGAACTACTCCACAGATATTGTTGGACAGATGTAGTAATCTTTTACCAAAGCATGTATGTGCATACAAAGAGAAGGGGGTCCTAAATCATTGGTTTTGCTACGTATATACTTTATGGATGCCCCCATAAAGTATAGTAAAAATAAATTTTCTTGAAAGAAAGTTTTATTTTTACTACATTAGGTTGACTTTTTTGCACATATTTTTGTTCAAAATTTTTACCTACATCATGTTAACTACACCAATAAAAAATTTATATCAATAATTTTAATACAATTATTTTTTTTGTACTAAGTTTTTTATTACTCAGAAAACTGAAATGTTTAAAGCTAAGTAATGGTAGCCATTATATTCTATATGTTTAAAGCTAAGTAATGGTAGACATTATATTCTATATGTTTAAAGCTAAGTAATGGTAGCCATTATATTCTATATGTTTAAAGCTAAGTAATGGTAGCCATTATATTCTATATGTTTAAAGCTAAGTAATGGTAGCCATTATATTCTATATGTTTAAAGCTAAGTAATGGTAGCCATTATATTCTATATGTTTAAAGCTAAGTAATGGTAGACATTATATTCTATATGTTTAAAGCTAAGTAATGGTAGACATTATATTCTATATGAAATAGAACATAATAGTTACCATAACTTTTCTTAAATTCTTTAAAATAATGAATAATAAAGATTATGTTTCTGAGTTTTGTCTCTGTTGGAGCTTTTGGTATGCATTATTGAGGCTACATAATAACCTTTTTTTTATGATTTTGGGTTGATTAGTAGGAATTAGGCAATTATATTGCTTATTGTCTAGGATGCCATAGAGTATACTTTTTTTGATAAATTTTTTCCCACTTGCTAAGATTTACCAGTTCTAAAAAAATTATTTAGTTACAGATGTAATGGCAACATATTTGCTATATTTGTTTTAAAATTACCAAAATGTAATGCTATGCGTATTATTAATTTTTAACCATACATTACTTTGGTACTACTATTTGCTAAAAAGTTTAAAAGAAGAATATAATAAGTCATTTTCTTTTTAAAAAAATTAATGTTTTCATACTACCAATAAATTGTGTAATCACATATCTAATTGGTTTGTATAAAAAAGAAAACTCATACTAATATTAATTTATGAAATGGGCTACACAGGAAGGTCTGGTCGAGAGTTGGGTTGCACTAAAGGAAAAACTCAAGTATAATTTTTTTTTTTAAATGCGCAATATATACAAGTGCTATATAAATGAAACAAACAAAAAAACTATATATATTTAAATTAAAACAATTATGTTACATTATATACATAAGCTTAATACAAACATGAGATAAATTAACTGTATATAAAACTAAATTTTAAAAATATTAACATACACACTTTAAATACAGTTTCTAATGTGTGTAAAAGTGGAATATTGGTATCTGATAATAACAAATATAAACAATTAAATTTAGTTATGTTGAAATAATGCAAGAGACTATTTGCCAGATAACATTGCCATGACTATGTAATCCAGAATACTACTATACAAATGATCCCACACACCATAAATAGCATCATCACAACCTTAATGAATAAATTCCATATTTATAATTATTTCTCAATTATCTCATTAATTTTTCATAATGATTCAATTTGTCTTATATTTTTTTATGTTTATTAACAATTATAAAGTCAGTTGTAGAACTATTTGTCCATTTAGATTTTACATATTACTATTGGTCAATCAGTCTTTTTTATATTAGATTTTTAATGCATTTAACTCATTTTCAGTCTCTGCTTGCTAAGATAAGATGACATCAATGATTAGTTAAATAGCTTTTTTCACTTCTTTTAGGGTCACAATATTATAGCTCAATTGATCTGTCTGATACTAAAAAAAAAGAAATTATTTATAACTAATTGCAAAATACATAAGAAAACAAAACAAACAATAGTAAAATAAGATTTTGACAATTTAAGATTTAAACTAACTTTAAAAAATGTTCACTCTTTAATAAATTAACAATGAAAATTAATAAAAATTAGTTTTAAGCGCATTCGAAAGAGTTGTAAAAATAAAACTATCATCCATTCACACATGCGTACAAAAAATAATAGTATATGTATGCTTATTGCTAATTAAAAAATATGTACAAGAGATTTGCAGTTGAATAAGATAAATTTTTAATAGTTTTTACTGTAGTATTTATTTGATTTATGGCTTGTCAATTTGGAGTAGGTTTTTGTTTTTCCACATCTTTGAAAATAAAACATTTTAAACAAAACTATAAGTGTACGGTACCAAATGTTTTAATCTGTGTTACAATCTTTTTGTTCCACCAATGAATAAAATTCATTAAAGAATGACACAAGATAAAGATGACTAAGCTTTAGTCAATAAGATTAAAATTATAACTTTTAGACTGAATCATATTATATGCTTTTGATAATTACTTACAGTATTACTTATTGTATAAGTAATACTAATAATGAGTTTCAAAGTATTACTTATTGTATAAGTAATACTAATAATGAGTTTCAACGTGAATTGAAAACAGTATTACTATAAGTTAATTTTATTTTAACCATGCTACCCCAGAAACATAAAAGTTTACATGTTTCTGGGATAACTTTCTTTATAAAAAAAGATACCCTAGAATTATTATTGTGTAAAAGTTAGGTAATTTAAAGTTTAACTTACTCACCACACGTATGATATAATATCATTGTTTATATTTTTATGCATTAAATAATAGCACTATGCTGACAATAATATATTTAAAAAGTACATAATGGTTTCCGAGTCATCTTTTTGATAGATAAAATAACTAATTTATAAACTCTTAGATAGCCTTGATCTATGATAAATCATAGCTTCAATACAAATCATAACCTTAGATCTATGATAAATTATATGATCTAAAAATTCCTGCATGGGTTCAAATGCTGAGATTCAAAATAAAACTCCATTTTATTTTGAATTTCAGCATCTTTATAATATACAATGCAATCTACAGGCTTATTTATTTATTTCATCCGAATTTAATTTGAAGGAGTTAGATACCTTCAAAAAAATATATATTCATATACTTTTTATTGTTATCGATTACATAAAAAAATTGTTTAACTTAAATAGTGACTTTTTTTTAATCAAAGTTCTAATAAAATCTTAAAAAATGTTTTATTCAATTGGATTTAAAAATCATCTTTTAACAATAACATTCACTCTTTTCTGTTTGGTTAGCACTTAAGCCATAATGCGCTTGCCCACATGGCCGTAAAAACTTTGGCAAGCGAATAAAAAAAGCGCTTGCCAAAAAAAATTAAGCCTTTTTTTTTATTGCAACTTATATAAAAAAAAAAAATTATTGCGCATTGATTACAGCATTAAACTTCTTATCAAACAATTTTTTATACTATTAGATATCCATTATTTATTAGATAACCAAATGTTGTTATTTATTAGATATCCATTGTTTTTTTTTTTGTTTTTTTTACTGGTATCAGCATTGGCCAAAATAATGCAATTGGTACATCTTTGTTATGATGTATCAATTGATGCATTATATTATTTGCAAATTTAAATATTTTTCATCATATAAGTAATATAATTTGTCATCAGTTGGTACATCATAATAATGAGGTACCAACTTATGCATGATATTATTTGCTTTCTGTTAACTCCCAACTCTCTTCTTTGCTATCTGACAACTTCTAACTTAATAAGTGGTTGGAGTGGTTTGGTTGTAAAAAAATAATATTTCAAAACATTGAACTTAAAGTTATTAAATCTGTATTTTCTTCATGTGTTGAACATTTTAAATAATTAGATTTTTTTTATATTCTAGAAACAATTACTAACTGCTGCAAAAAAAGCAATTTCAAAGCTAAAAACACTTCCTTTTTCGGCTGCAACCCATGAAGAGGTTTGGTTATGCTTTTATTTTTATTTTTGATGAATTTGATAATTGTAAAACTATTTTTTTTTTATAAAACAAAATTTTTTTAATTTAGTATAATAATTTTAATTTTTTGATTTTAACTTTTAATTTTTAATTTTTTTAATTAATTTTGCTAATTTTACTTTGTACTATCTATAAAAATTATGTTATTCCTATTATTTTAAAATTTAGTTATTTTGACTAAATTAATAGTTCTTGGGGACAGTTATTTTAGTTAAAAAAAGAAAATAAAAATTTAAACATAAATTAAACAGTAATTTTTAAAAACATTAGATATATGATTATTAGGGTAAATCATACTTTCAAAATTTTTAATTTTCAATTCAGCAGATCATTTTACAGTGTCACTCTATATAAATATTGACATCCAAATATATAAATTTTTTTATAATTTTTACCTATTACAATGCTGGATTGCATTTTTTGTCAAGGGAAATTTGTTATTTAGACATAAATGCAAAGCCTTGTACTTTACTAATTTTTTTTTTAGTAGAACTAAAGATGTTTGAAAAAAGAGTTTTATCCAAAATTCATTGGTTTGGCAGTTTTTTATTTATATTCATTTTTAGCTTAAAGGGATCCCAATTCTCTCAGATATATGTTGTGTTCATATTAAAGAGAATGATAAAAAAAAAAAAAAAATTGGGTTAAATTTTTTTGATTAAAGGGACCCCAAACTCCCAACACATGTTGTGTTCATATTAAAGATAATGTTTAAAAAAAAGGTTTGAACCAAAATTTTACTCAAAACTCTGAGTTTTTAAATTATACATCGCAATCTACTGATTTCAGCGATAGTATTTGATGTCAAGGTAGACTTTTAACAAATGAAACTCTGTAAAAAATTTTATTTATGTTTATTCATAAAAAATTTTATTTATGTTTATGCTAGTTCGTTGCTATAAATTGTTATTGCGCTATATTTAATGTTAAAGGGATCCCCAACTGCCAAGACAAGTTGTGTTCATATTAAAGAAAATGTTTAAAAAAAAATATTTGGGCTAAATATTTTTATTGAAACTAAATAATGAATGCATACCAACAAAATTAAAATTGTCGTTTTAGTTAGCTCGCCTTCTCCAATTTTTTTTTGGTTCTCAGGGTCTGTATAATGTTAGCCGCAATCTGCAGAGTTGATAATATATTCCATGCGTGTTTAATTCATAACAGTTTCTGTATATGACATCGTCGAAATATCTTTTTAAGATAGAGTTTTTTGTTGTTGTTTTTTTAAAGATATAAGTATTTTTTCTACTACAATCAGAATATCAAATATTTGTATAATTTTTTGGTAAGTCACAAAAAATATTTTTGATTTACTAAAAAATTATGCATATATATATATATATATATATATATATATATATATATATATATATATATATATATATATATATATATATATATATATATATATATATATATATATATATATTTTACTTGCTTTATTATTACTTTGTTTTAGAAGCCAGCCAAAATCATGACACAATTATAGATATTTTGTAATTGTTAGAGTTTGCAGGCAGACAAAAAATAAAGGCAGTATGATGCGTTTTCTCGTTTTATATTTAGTTCAAGGTTTAATAGAGTTGTTTGTTTTATGTTTAATTTACATTTAGTTATGGTTTAACTCTTTCACTACTGCAAGCCACTGGTAGTGTCTTTGGAGTATGCTTTACAATTTATCTTGTTTTGTACATAAATATTCATTCTAGACACATAGAATTTGTTTGTTCTAAAAGATTTATTAATTCTCTATATAATCAAGAAAAAATAAGAGCTATATTGTGTAATTATAAAAAAGTTATCACAAAGTTAAAAAATCTTGAATAATCCTTCATAAAAAAAACTTTAAATTTAGTTGTAAAATAAAACAGCAATTAGCACTGTAAAATTTAACTTGTAGAAGTGTTAAGTATTTAGTTAAGTAATTACCAAAGTATTTTTTAAAAAATATTATTTTTATTCATTAAATGAGGTTTGTTTTGGACTTAATGTTTTAGTTACTACTTATAAAAACAATAGTTTTAAGCACTTTGCATTTCTTATTGTTTAATGATGCGTGTTAAAACTTTATTATTATCGGATTTTAAATAATTTTCAATGTTATGCTATTCAAATGTTATTCCAAAAAATGTGCAGTTGCTACAAAAAGATTTTTGTTTGGCTGGTAGCAAACAATTTAATGTGATTCTTTGTTTTTATATTTATTTTAAAACTATTTTCTGTATATTTTAGTACAAATATTTGTTTTAACTTTAATTTAGTTTGATTTGAACGGCTATTAGTAAAATAAGTCGTTTAATATTTATTTTATACTTAGTTATGAAAAAAACATTAAACGAAAAAACAAGTGACTTGTTTTATTCAAGTCACTTGTTTTTTATTTAGTTAATACTTTAAATTAATTTATACTCTTTAGTAAAATTATTCTTTTAGCATCTAGTTTATATTTAGTTTAAACCATTTGATTTTACTGTAAATATTCGTTATATATTACATTTTTATAAATTTTATAAATTTAATTTTTAATTGCATCAACTTTTTTTTTGGATTTATCATGTTAATTGTATAACTTTACAAAGTTATACAATTAACATGATTTGGTGATTGTGGCAAAAAAATGATACGACATCTTGAAAGAAAAAATTTATACGATGATGTAATATACCAAAACTGTTATCAATTAAACACGCATAGAATAAATTATCAAGTCTGCAAATTGCGACTAACATTATACAGACTCCGAGAGCCAAATTAAGAATGGAGGCGGCAAGCTTTAACTAAAATGTGAATTTTAAATTTAATGGTGTGCATTCATTATATAGTTTTAATCGAAAAAATTTTGCCCAAATGTTTTTTTAAACATTTTCTTTAATATGAACACAACTTGTTTTGGCAGTTGGGGATCCCTATAATAAATTATGAATATTTATCATCTCAATCAAGGTTCTGATAAAAAAATTGTTTTATATTAATTACCCGCATAAAATTAGTAACAGCATTTTTATTTGGTTAGACAATATTTCATCTGAATTTGCTTTGTACGAAGTTTGGGAAGTCAAACAAAAAAACTTAGTTTGAATAATCATGTCGAAGCATATTTAAAACAAATGATTTTAATGACAGGGGTTCTATAGTCTTTTTAAACAAATGTAGGTAAAAAATAAATAACTAAATAAAAAGTTTAACATTAAACATCTTTTTTTTATTATATTGCAACTGTGAATATTGAAATATTAACTTGAACTAAATTTAATTATTAATTAAAATGACTAAGCAATAAATAAAAAGCCCCTCAAATTGTATGATATTGTGTTGTTTATTTGATTATTGTTGTTGGTAATGTTGTTTATGTTGATTATTTTTATCAATATCAAAATAGTCCCAGATTGGACTGTTAGTTGCTTTGCTCATTGTTGATTTATTTCTAATTTAATTTGATCTCTTTAGTTTAATACTATGTTATAAAAGAAAATTTTTTATTTCATTGCGCGCTCTTTTTATAAAAGAGTAGAACTAATGAGATAGAAAAGTTTCACATAGTTAAACTTTGAATGAATAAGAGTTGTATAGAATATTTTTTTTGCATCACTTGTTCTTTTTTTGCAAGTGAGAAATAAAAGTTTAATTCTAACTTTTCTTTGAATAAATGGGAATTGGAAGAGAAAATTGCTTGAAAACTTGTAAATGTCAATTTTGTTAGTTTTTAATTTTCCATGTTAAGAGACAAATGGAAAATATGACACATAAATTGGGAAGTCCCAAATATGATATGTTTTTAATGTGTCTTATGACATTTTGATAATTTAAATTACCATCTATCTTGAATTATTGCCATTAATTAATACAAGCCTTCCCAGGAAAGGCGTGCGGTTTTTCCTCTCGTACGACCACGAAAACGTTTTTCAAGTTAGAGAACGCGATCACAGCCGTTTGCGCAAGTTTTATTACATGCGTTGCTGAGAAATTGTTTTAACTTTAATAACTACATAAGAACCAACTACATAAGAAATTAAAGTAAACTTAAATAGGAAACAATAATAATAGTTTAAATAATTTGTGTGTTATTTTTTTTTTTTTCTTAGTGGTTATTATTATCGGCAACAAAATTCAGTAAGTCATAGCAAAAAAAAAAAAAAAAAAAAGATTTTAAGCGTTAAAAAGGATGACTTTCCCATATTTTATGTGTTTTTTCTTTTAAAGAGGAAAGAGAAAATATGTATTGTCATCTGTTTGTAAAATATATTTGTATAATTATAATGTAACAAGTTTATATCAAGAGTTAAATTATACAATCGTGATTTGCAAACTCTGGTAAAATATTAGGTCTTTAAAATTTTAGTTCATGCAAAGCTGTGTACTTTGTTTATAAAGAGCAAATAATTAAAAGTTTGCTAGCGAGAAAGTTATAAAAATCAAAACAAAAACAATAAACTTACGATTACAAAAGTAATAACACTTTAGTCACTAACTGCATTATAAAAGTAATAAAACTATAATAGTGTTATTACATTTATAAAGCACTTAATACTTTTAAAGTTCATCCTTTGTTCAAACAACATTATTAATTCCAAACATTTATTAAAGTAGAAAAAATAAAGCGGATATTCAAGTATTATTAAAAATTTCACGAACTTTCACATATCACTTGAACAACATTATAAAAAAGTCCTTTATAAAGAGTATAGCATTAGGAAAACCATTACGTAAAAACTCGCAATAATTTTAAAATCAACCAATAAAAAATTTTTATTGGTTAATTTTAAAACTAACGCGCATTTTTACCGTCCATTAGTTATGAATTTATAATATTAGTTATAAAAGTAATAACACTATTATAGTGTTATTACTTTTGTAATGCAGTTAGTGACAAGTGTGTTATTACTTTTGTAATCTTAAGTTTATTGTTTTATTTTTTATTTTTTTGCTAACAAATTTAAGTTGATTCTCCCCTTAAAAACAAGCAACACGGTTTTGTATAAACTAAAATTTTGAATACAAGATATTTTTCCAGGTTTTTCGTTTCGCATTTGCTTAATTCAACCCTTGTTGTTACATTAAAGTTATACAAATAAATTTTACAAACACATTGTTATTTGTGTTTTTGCTATCCTCTTAAAAAAAAAAGTTAAGAAAAGGAAAATCATTCTTTTTATTTGTAGACTTCAAACTTTTTTTTTTTTGCTTTGCCTTATCTAATTTTGTTACTGAATGTAACAACCACTCTAAAGAAACAAAAATAAAAACAGTACACAAATAATTTAAACTATTAATGTGTTTTCATTTTTTTCTATTTTAATCTCTTTTTATTTTGTTAGTTTTTTTTTTTTTTTTTTTTTTGAAACTTTTTCAGCATTGATTATTATAAAACTTGCAAACAGCCATGTTCAAGTTGTTTAAAATAAGATACTCGCGTGTGGTCATACAAGACAAAAAACTGCATGCCTTTCCTGGGAAGGCTTGTAATGTGTTAATTATTCCATTAATTAATAATAATTTGTCCATATTTTTGTTAAATGTTAATTATATATAAAGGGGCAAAAATATATATCTATTTCATGTTTTTAATTTGATGGTTGTAAAATCTTGAACTGTAAACTTATCAAAATTTATAAAGCCGACTTGTGCTGTTATTGTTTGTACTTGTAATGCAAAACCAGGATCTCACATATCCGTTCACGAAATTTTCATATCTGATACAACTGTCAACTGTATTATTTAATGTGTTTTTGTACTTTTTTTTTCGTAACCTTAACAGATTCTAATTGGTATGGAGTTGCCAACAAAAGTTTCGTTATCAAAAAGCAAATGCAAAATATAATATTTTCTTTTTATCCATATCAAATTTAGCAATTTAAATTAAATTAGCGTAATCAAAAAATTTTTATAACAACGTTCTATATAATGTAAAATACTCGTATGAAAATCATAAGATTGGTAAGTAAAGCTTTAATATTTGTTTTAACTTAAAAATAAAAGAAATATAAGTAAGATATATAAACCTTACCATCTATACTCGAATTGCATCTTGTTTCTGATCCTAGTCAGTGCTCAATTTCTCCACATTCACACTAGAGAGCTACACAGGGTCAGGAATTTGTTCTATCCCCACCCATCCCTGCAGAAACCAAAGCCATTCCCACCCATCCTCGTAAGCACAAGCTTTCACAGGAAGACGTGCGATTTCACTTCTTTATATGACCACACAAAAAAAAGATTTGACCACGGCATATTTTTAAAATTTAAAAACGCGCTGCAAAAACTTACCTAAACTTATCTGAAAAAAAAATTTTAAAAAACAATAAATATTAATGAAAGAGAAAATAAAAAAAAGACTTAGTTAAAGCAAAAACACACAAAAAAAAATAAAAATATATATATATATATATATATATATATATATATATATATATATATATATATATAACGCAACTTAAACAAAACTCATCAAACTAAAATGTCTATTTAATTTATGCATTAAAAAACCTTTTCAATCATTGTTTCAACATTTTTATATATTTTTTATTTATTTAATATGTTCAAAAGTTAGATATTTCTGATAAAAAATACGTAGTCATAAATAAAATAAAAGAATATTATATTAATACTTTTTTTTAAATTAATAAGAAGTGTTTTTTTTTTACTTCATTAAAAGCATTTCGATAATATAAAAGCATTTAAGATCAAACTTATTAAATTGTAACGGTTTTCTAAAACTTTTTTTTTAACGAAATTTTGTTTATCTTTTTAAATGCATTAACTTTAATCATTCTTATATTTAAATTTGTTAAAGAGACTTTCGTCGCAGAATGTCATCGTTTATAAAAACAAAACAGTTTTTTAATTTTTTAATAAGATTTATTTTAGAAATAAACACTTAAACAATTTATGTTTTAAATTAAAAAAATATATATGACAATTGTATATATTTTTTTATATAATATAATTATATTTAAAAAACAAAACTTTTTTTCAGTAAATTGTTACTTTATTTAAAATCGTTTCGCTAATATAAAAACATTTGTTAAGAAGTTTTGTTGTAATTAATTTCACTTTTTTAGAATATTTTTTATTTAGCGCATTTCTAAAATGTTTTTTGAATTAGCCGCAGTCATAGCAAAATGTAACTTGCGTGGTCATATAAAGATGTGAAATTGCGCGTCTTCCTGTGAAAGCTTGTAAGCATCTCTTTCCATCCCCACCCATCCCCTGCAATCATTTTCTTCCATCCCCACCCATCCCCACAAACATTTATCAGCCCTTCCCATGAAATAGCATAAAAAATTTATTAAAATATAGTCAAGTCAAGAGTTTAATTAATAAAGTTTAATAGCTTATAAAAAAAAAATATAGTCAAAAGAATTTTTTTTTTTTCTAATACACAAAAAAGAAATAAAATAAAACAATTTTAACCATAAATTTCTAATTTAAAAAAATAAAAGTCAATGTTTTAGCCCTATCAAAAACAACAGATCATCGATAATATCAGGTGATAATTATGTATAATTACCAGATAACTGGACGAGTCCTATATGGTACCCATACATATTGGTTGGCTGGGCAATCAAGCAGGTTTGCTTGATTTTTTAACCATAGGGGACCCTTCTGGAAACCAAAATAAATACCTGTCAAAATTTGTTATCGTAAGCCCAGACAAAAACCATACGGTATCTTATGTCAAATTGTCATAAGGGTCATTAGAGATTAGCCAACCAAATTTTTTGTGAGAAAAAGTAAAAATTTGATTTTCATTTTAACTAATATTTTGTAAAAATCCATTCCATACCCGCAAGGTTCCCGCAATGTTACAATCCATCCCTGTGGGAATCCTGCAGAAATTGATCCCATCCCTGCGGAAATCCAGCAGATTCCACAGGAATGGGTTCAAATCGTGAAACCCAATCCCATGCAGCTCTCTACAAGCTTATAAAAATCTGATCACAGTTTGATTTCTCTAAAACTATTCTCTCATTCTTTTTTATCATCTGAATCTCCCTATCATCACGCTTCTTACAACTACCTTGAAGCTGACTGGGACTCTTTCTGTGATTTTCTATGTGATAGCCCTTGGGTTGATATCTTTCCTCTTCTTGCTAACAAATGTGCCTCTTATTTAACATCTTGGCTGAAGTCTTTCATTTACTCTCAACAAAACCAAGTCAAGCGTCACTCTTCTTCATGGTTTTCCTTTCATTATGCTGTTGCGATTTCTAATTGTAATCTTTACTTCCATATCTATTGTCAAAACAGTTCTTTAGAAAACAGACATTTGTTTACTATGCAAGGCAAACCATATAAAAAAGTTTAAAGTATTTTGAAAATTTTTATGATTTCTATAATGCCTCCAAATATTTTGCACAAAAAACAATTAATTTTTGTTGATCCGGCATTAAAAATTTGCACGCTAGATAACAAAAAGTTGTTGATGCTGAGGTTGGTTACATCATCAATCATAGCAAAAATGGTTGAATCATTGATTTAAAATTAAGTTTTGTGAAAAATTTATTTGTTTGAATGTGTATGCTAAAAAACAACATAACTTTCCAATCCCTTTAATGTAATCATTACTTAACAAAAAGTGTAACATAAGCAGAGTTTTTCACTACAGTTAGTTTTATAACCAATATAAACTAATTTGAAAGTTTGTGATGAATAATAAATTAAAATAAATATTTAATTTAAAAATGAAGTTAGCTGTAACAAACATGATTTTTTTTTTAATTTTATGTAGAGATTTTACAGAGCATTACCCAAAGGAGCATTACCTTTGGATAATGCTCTAGTAAAATCTCTTATAACAGGTAACAAGTTTTCTTTACTTATTAAATTGATCTTACTTGCGTTGGGTTTTTTTTTCACTTAATGTTTTATTAGTAACACAGTAGCAACAAGTGAATGGCTCATGCAAATACTAATTATTGAAAACTTATAGCTTCATAAAATATTTTGACTAGGTAGATTAAATTATTGTTTTACTTCTAAAAAGTTGAGATTTTTTTGATTAAAATAGCAATTGTAGGCTTTAATTCTAATTGGTTTTTGTTTGTTTTTTAAAATTAAGATGTGTTAATACTTTCAATGTTTTCAATTGTTGTTTTTTTGGCAGGATGATACCTGTGCTGTGTGTCTTGAATCTTATAAAGATGGCGAAACCTTAAGGGAATTGCCATGCATGTAAGTTTCCTGATATTTGTGAAATTTGTTTTTCTTTTATATCTATTGTTTTTTTTATAGCTATTGTTTTTAATTTTTAATTCTAAATAAATTTTTATTAATTTGAAAAATTAAAACCCCAGCAGCAAGTTAGTCCACAAGTCCTCAAGTGACTTTAGTTAGGGTTTTGTTTCTGATTTTTTGTGTGGTTTAAGGGTTTAGTTTCTGACTTTTTGTGCGGTTTTAGATGTTTTGTGTAGTTTCTTATATCTTATAGTTACTCCTTGTCCTCTTCTAGGAGCATCCGTAAAGTACTTTCACAGTAAAACCATTGATTTAGGACCCTCTCAGAAATTATATGGTTAATTCCATATTAAATCAACTAATGGTTCCCAGGGTACCACCTCAAATTTGCTTCAAATTTTGACCACCCACAGCTTTTATGAAAAAGATACAATCCTGAAAATTGACCAAAATTGGATAAATTTTAGTATCTGGAACATGCAGTAGATTTTTTAGATTTTTACCAGATCATAACTTTTTAAATAAAATAGATGATCACCTGAAATTTTTAAGGGTAATAGTTTTTTACCAAAAATTATCTATTTTTGTAGGTGTTTTTGATTAATTTTAAACAGTTTTTGAGTTCTTGTACCTCAAAGTTGATAAATAATGCAATAATAGAAAATATTTTGGAAACTTTAATGTGCTACCAACAGACAAGCTTGCTAATATTATGTTACTTTTGTGTACTTAGAGTAACCACTTGTGGAAAAGATAAATATTATGTGTTAAAAGTTATTTTAGCACTTGTAGCAGCCTGTTAAAATATCACTTTTTTTTAAAAATACGATAAATTACATTCACTTTGTAGGCGTAGAAAGTAGCGTAGACAGTTAAAATAAATTATAAAACTTTTTACTGGCGAGGTTCTATATATAGACAAACCTAAAAGACAAACCATCTAAAAGCTTTAATTCGACGGTTCTCTCCTCCACCACCTGGAACATCAGGATCCTCGCCATTACATTCAAAGTTTATTACCAATGAAGTTGGACCAAACACGCTTCTATATATAAGAACAAAAAATTAACTAATTATTATTATAGTTATAATTATTAATTATTTTTTTATAAACTATTAATTGGGAAAATAGTGCACATAAAAAATGGTAATCAAGTAGACAAAATACTACATGTTAAAAACAACAAAGTTTTAGAAAGTTATTAAGCCTATTAGGCTGCAGAGATAATCTAATTAACTAATCAATTTCATCAAAAGAAAAGTTGTTAGTGCTCAGTGAAGTAAAGGCAATTTTATGATATTACAGCGTCTGTATGATATTTTCCTGAATACGAATTATTTGCATTAAATGATCAGGTCTTACAAGACTAAAAAATATTAGAAATTTTAAAACTTTGCTGCAACAATATAAAAATATTTAAGGCGAAAAAATCCAGAACAAAGATCCTAAAAATCCGATTGCTTGTCTAGATTTGAATAAGATTTTAAGTAAATTCTTTGTTTGTGTGAAATGAACATTAGGGTAGTTCAAATTTAGGTCAAAAAAGTTTTACAACTAGAGTGGAAGTTTATAAGGTGCACAGATCCTTGTTTTATATATAGGATTTTTTTTTAATTTTTTTATTTTGAAGTTTAGGGGTGGCACACAGCCCAAAAGTACTTTTTTTTTTTTTTACCTTTTACCATTATTAAATTCAAATTATTTTTTTTACATATTCTTGCAAGGACCTATACAAAAAAATAAAAAGGCAATTTAACTCAATTTATTTTTTGAAAACTTAAAAAATGTTCTTTAAAAATACCTACGATCAATTTTTTTTTCAAATCTAATGAATTTTTTTATTATTTCTTTACACGCAACTATTTCAATGACAGCAGTATGATCTCATTGTTCAAATGTAATAATCATACTCAATGTTCAACATCTGCTTGGGATTGTGTTTTTTTTTCATAAAAGCTGTGGGTGGTCAAAGTTTGAAGCAAATTTGAGGTGGTACTCTGGGGCACTTTTAAAAAACTAGGTGATTTCTTCTGAAATAACCCATATGCATCTGTTTGGTTGAGGATCAGCTGCAGGTTTGGAAAAAGCTCAAGGTTTTTTAAAATAAAACCTTGAGTTTAAAACTCAAATGGGTTTTATTGGTTTTTCAGGTTTTAAGGTTCTTTTAAAAACTGTTTGAAAATTCCAAATTTTTATTATATATGAAATGTAATTTTCTTTTAACTTTATAAATTCACCTCTCCATTGCTTCTGTGTCAACTACAGTCAAGTGTCCACTACAGTCATTTTTTTAAAGTAATTTTACTTTCATGTAATAAATAAAATAATGCAATTAACACTAGGGACGGGGGGGGGGAATTTGAAACAAAAAATCAATGAAAACATAAAAATCTCTAACAATTAACGAAAAAAATATAACCATCTGTTTCTCTAGCAGGTTATGCCCTTAGAGAAACAGATTGAGCACAGTCATTTTCAGAAGTGCACGGTGGATTTGAATCTCAACATCTTGATTGTGAGCCAAATGTTTTGTCCCTAGTCTACTACCACCTATGATGCACAACATTCACTATAAGTGATGTTAATTGCATTAAATTAAAAATATATTCAGAATATTTTTGATTAAGAAAAATCACAATAAAAATTATTATGCCAACTGTGTTATTCAAAGTTGGTAAGACAATATAAATGTATATATGTACTTCAAAATCTAGTTTGCATAAGTTTACAACCTGTAGTCTAAAAATTTGCAACATGGTTTTGCAACCTTATAAATCACCTTCAATGGAATGGCTATGAACATCTTTTAAACATTTTTGCAACATAAAAGAAAAAGTGTCAGCCTAATCACAACTTTTTATAAACAGAAGATTAAAGTATCTAGCTTCCTAGAAAGTCCTAGGCCAGATCAACACATCCAATACTTTAATTTTTTGTTTTTATTTCATTATATTTGTATTTTCAAAACAGGTTAAGAATAAATAGCTAATTTGAGGTGACTATGAACACTACATAATGTATTTCTTTTTTAGATTATACAGTGTCTTTATCACCAGAGCCTTTATTTTTTCCTGGATGATGTTTTATCACGTCTGTTTTTTTCCTCCAGTTGTCATATAAGTAATTAATTGAACAAATAAACTTTCTGATTAAGTATCAAATCTGGTTTGTCTATCATGCCTTTTTGGAACTTGATCCCATAGTTTTACTATTTTATGTAGTATTCCTAATGGAATGTTTTGAATTTTAGCAGCCTTCCTTATGATAAATGCGTGGTTTTTTAATTGCATCTGTTTCTAAATGTTCTTGAGTGTAACTTGTTTTATAACCTCAGCTATTTTCTTTTTTTTTTTTTTTGTATATTTAAAAATTGCTTCTAAAATTAGCCAACAACATCTCCACATACACACACAAACACACACACATACATAAACATGCTTCTTCCCTCTTCCCCAATGCATAAAATTTTCATAACGTTAAAAAAAAAAAAACCTTTAGGCTATTGGACATATCTTTGTTACATATCATGATATTAATTTTTTAAACTGCTTTTGTTAAAAAAAAAAAAAGAAATCAGGATTTCGTAGAGATAGTCAAAATGCATAATGGCTTTCTTTAACATCCCTCCCCTTTGTACACATTTGTATGTTTTTGGGTAACCCCCTCCTCCCATGCATGCCTACTTATTTCATGGAAAACTATTGAAGTGATTTAGACCATGCTATGATCCCACAAACTTTTATCTTATTACCACCTTCTATTTCTAATTTTTTTTTGTTTTTTTGTTGTTTTTTTTCACTAGTGAAACATTAAAAACAAAAAAAATTTTATCATTGCCGTAAAGTGAAAAATTTCATTGTTTTTGTTTTCAAAATTTACTTCTGCAAGCAGTACCGTAACACATTGCTTAGGAGATTTTGAATATACATTGAGAAAAAAAGTTTTATATGGAAACTAGAAATTGTGGTGAATGGTTTGTAATATTGTAGTTACTCGTTGATCACTGAGCCATCATCAGATGTTTACATAGAACACAAACATATATATATATATATATATATATATATATATATATATATATATATATATATATATATATATATATATATATATATATATATATATATATATATATATATATATATATATATATATATATATATATATATATCAAGTTGAATCCCTTTAACTCGGACCCTGGATAAGTTGGGCGGAATTAAAATTCCCCTTGTACATTCTCTATCAACTTACTGTAAAATCATCTGCTTAAGTCGTACCCTGATTAAGTCAGACCATTTGCTAACTTGTACTGTTTTTAAGGTCCCTTCGGCAAAAAACTTCGCTTAACTAGGACTTTTATTTTGAATTGCATATAAGTGCATATAATAACAAAACTTCCAATACTTCAATAAAAATTCCAAACTTTAAACGCTCGAAAGTAAAATACTTTTGCATCAAATATAATTAAACATAGTTAAATATTTTCACGTAGATCTTTTGATTCAGTTAAGCTTTGATTAAGTTCTATTTGTTAATAACTATTACTTTAAAAATTCAAAAATATCAATTAAATTCAAAACTTAGAGCATTCAAAAATTACCTTGCGTCAAACATAATTTAACGAACTAAACATTTTCACTGATATCTTTGATTCGGTTATACTTTGATCAAGTTTTATTTACCAAAAATGTCAAAGATTGCTAAAAACAAGCTATCAAGTAGAACTATAACAGAAAAATACAGAATACTAAAAGAACTTGACAAAGGAGAACCATCTGTATCTATATCAAAGAAATTTGGCATTCCAAGCAAACAGGGTTTGTCTGGATGGTCTGGGCTTGCTGCAGCTAACATGTGTGTAGAAAAACTTCCAATGTTTGTTATTGGGAAATAAAACAAACCCTATTGCTATAAAGGAATTAGAAGCACTCCATGTTGTTACTGCGCGCAAAAAAAGAGCTGGATAACCTCTTAACTATTTAAGGAGTGGTTTAGAGAAAACCACAGAAAGTTTGCATTAGAAGGTTGTAAGGTAGCATTGGTTATTGATAATTGCACCGCCCATCTGAATATTGAGAATCTTAAATAGGTCTCAATTAATACATATAGTAACTTACTCGAGCTAACACCATGCCAGAGGTTCACACAGAACACAAACATTTATATATAGTAACTTACTGGTGAGCTGGCACAGCAATGAAGTCATTTTTAATTATACAACAGATAAAATAGATTTTATTATAGATATAACAGGTATTAGTGTTAATAATAGTTAGTTAACTCTTTCTAGACTTTGCTTAAAAGAGCTAATTCTACAAAGAAGCAGGACATGAGGCAGGTTGTACTGGATTACATGTTACCAGTATGATGATGATCATGATGATCTTAATCCTAATAAATTCTTCAATATAGTTATTAATACATATAACCAGTTAGGGTGTCCCTCAAAACAACATTTTTGAAAATAATCTGCATCTTTGAATTAAAAGATGTTAAGAAAAATTCAACTAAAAAAAAAAAAAAAAAATGACAAAAAGCAATCACTCAATTTCGCAGTAAAACATCTATAAATAATATATCGAAAAAAAACAAAAAAAACGAGTTTTATGGTCTACCTAACTGTTCAAAAAAATCAGATCAGAGATCTCACTGACTGCTCTAACTATTGCCCAATCATTCTTGTTATCATTAAAAATAGTCTTGTTATAAAATTCTTGACATTTCAAAGACTTATGATAAAGTTTTGCATGCCAGTCATCTCCTTAAGTTATTTTTATCTTTTTACTGTCACTGTTCTTTCATGCTAAAAAACTTTTATTGCTCTTCTTATTTTTTGTCTCGAGCATCAATATTTTTTCTAATTCTTTATATCTTTTACTCTTGCAATATACAACTGTTTAAGATACTGACTATTCTTACACTATTCTTATGTTCATTACACTTATTCTTATACTATTATTATATATCTATAATCTTATTATATTATTGTATAATATAATAGTATTTATATATTACATATATTAATACTATTATATTTTTAAACAATATTATTTTATATAACATAATATTAGTTATATATTATTATATAACCAGATGACAGTTTTTCTCCTAAACACATATTATTGATAACTCAGTAGTGTGCTGTCATTTTGTGGGGTTCAAGACCTTCTATTAGCGTAATAAATTTTGAAATTTTTTTGAAATTTTGCCTATATATATAGCAAAAAAAAAAATATATATATATATATATATATATATATATAAACTTCTAGTTGCTAATTGTTAAAATAAAATTTAAAAAGTTTTCTCATATTTTATATATATATATATATATATACATACATACATACATACATACGTTGAGTTTGCAGGTGGTATATGGAACAGTCATGTTGTTCCATATACCCCCTGCAAACTCAACATATCCAAAAGAAATTTTAGACTTACAGATGTTTGTACATAACACTATACAAATGGGATCTAAGAAGATGACATAATTTTAGCAATCAAAAATTATCAAATTTAAAGTTAAAGTTTCAAGTTTTCCAGCTAGATGAGACTATATGTTTCATATTTTTTCAATCTTATCAATTTTTTAAAATACAATAACAAAAATTCAAATCAAAACTGTTTAAGCAATTTTTCTTACTTTACAATCCTGTATAAAATGCTTTTACATATGCATATTTAGACCCTATGCAGCTTATTAGGACTAATTACCTGAGCACAATAAAAACATTAGTATCATTATCATGACATATGCGTAACAAGTTTCTCCTAGTGTTTGATTTTTTTAGAAACTTTAAGCATTTTTTAAAATTCTCAACTTTTCGCTTGTTATAGTATATAATATCGTTATATATGTTATGTATATATCTATATAACTTTAAAAGTGTTTTATTTTGTATTTTAGAAAAATCAAAAATGGTTTTTTTTTTAAAAAAAGGTGCTAGTGGTTGGACAGTGGTGCTTCAGAAACTCTGTGAGCTAACCACTTCAGCCACATAAGCCTGTTGTCTGACAAAAAAATTTGAAACTATTTAATAATGGCAAATGAATGCTAGAGTTAAAATACGGAGATGTTGCTGCTTTGCTGTATATATATATATATATATATATATATATATATATATATATATATATATATATATATATATATATATATATATATATATATATATATATTTAATGTTTTTTAAACATATTCACTCCCAACAAGGCTGCAAGCAACCGCTATTATAGCTGGAAGTTACTGGAAAAGAAAAGATGAACTTAATAATGTAAGATAGCAAGTAACAGACGACTTAAAAAATTGCAAGTTATATGAATCAGGAAAAAGAAATAAAGGAAGGAAATTCCAAAGAACTGTTGTTTAATAACACAAGAATAAGTTTTAGTAGACGGCATAAGAGATGCTAGCTCTTTAGAGCAGCGCCATTATACTATTTATAGAAAAGAGAAATAGAAGCAACATTATGACGATGTGAAAAAATTTGAAGGTTGGCTGCTAGACCAGGTCCAATTATGTTTACAAAACATTTTTGCACCTTGTCTAAAAAATAAAGGTATAATTTGAAGATCCGCTCTAGATATGGCAACAGTATTCCATACAAGGATGGATTTAAGATTTATAGAGATAAAGAATGGAATCCAAAGAATAAAAGTGGTGAGCACAATAAAGAAATGCAACCTTAGCCGATGCTAATTTTGAAATGGATTTGATATATGGTTTCCAAAAAAGTTTATGAGTAAGAGTTAATCTTAGAAGACAAAGGGTAGATGACTCATCAAGTGCATTTAAATTCATAAATTTAGGAAGATCTAGATTGATGTGATAACATTGAGTTTAATAAATTGATGTGTTAAAATTGAGTTTTATCTGACTTAAAGTTCACCAGCCACTGAGACCCCATGCTGTAGCAGGTGTGAGATCCTTTTCAAGCTCAAATGCCCCCTTGGAGAGCGTTGGTTTCTCATCAAGACAAGAATTAATAATAGTATCATTAGCAAACAATGTCACTTTTGATGTGAGAATTTCTAGGAGATCCTTAATGTAAATTAGAAAAAGTATAGGGCCGAGAATAAGACCTTTAAGAACCCCTAAAGTTATAAGAAATAAAGAAGAGCGTTGTCCATTAAGGACAACTTTTATACAACGATTAATAAGAAAAGATTCAATAATCTTAAAGATGTTACCTGATACACCGTAACAAGAGAGCTTATGAAAACCAGTGTGCCAAACTTTATCTAAGGCTTTAGAAATGTCAAAAGCCTCAGCTTCTCTTTATATATCCAATGTACAATAAAGTCTATCAGTTATTGCTTTTAACAAATCAGCAGTTGAACGAGAATAAGAATGAGTATATTTAAAAGTATAGTGGACAGCTCCAGAAAACACTTAAGAAATGATCCAGATTGTCTGGAAAGCAAGTTGGAAAGTTGACTATTTGTGTTGCAGATTAAGAAAGGCAAAAGTTGTGGGCCTTTACACCTGCAAAGTTACTAACACTAGAACCAAGTCACCAACAACAAGGATATTGGCTGAAGGATAAAGAAAAAAGGTTTTTGATCAATTTGATCAGAAATAAAATTGAAAAGAATTGCCCAGGCCAAGCATGTGACTATTGAAGTCTTAACGAATTAAAGGAAGATAAACATCAACACTTTTTGAGATCTTTTTGTTTTAAAGTTTGCCTGTGAGAAATCCCTAAGTTTTTTGTTAGTCTGATTATGGAACAATGATCAGTTTTATTCCAGATGTTTTCCAGACTCTTCGGAAGCAGAAAGACAGTGGGTAAAACTACTATATATCTGGATTTTGCTGGTTTAATTAAAAGTCTTGATGCAGCAAACAATTTATCTGAAAAGCTATTATAATGGTTCAGTAATTCATAGACAAAACAAATGGCAGAATATCAATCTCTTTACCAACAGAGGAAAATAAACAATGACTAATAGAGTGTTGCTACAAAAACTAGAAGAATAAGTTGTATATTTTACCATGTTCTTTATTTATTTCTTAAAAAACATACATTTAATAGTATTTTTATGTTAGATGTAAATTTTTAGTATAGATATATATATTTTAGATATTTAATATTCGAAATGTTATGTTTTTTATGTTTTTTAAAATATTAGGCCTTTCTGCAAAGAAAATTAGCACATTTTAAAATGTGTTTGAAATTGTCTTTAAAATACTGTCTATAAAATACTAACTTATTAAAAAAAAATTTATTTTGATTGTTTTGACCCTGCCCAGCAGCATTAAGTTGTTGATAAATAAAAAAATTAAAAGGTTCTTGTTTTTTTTTTAAAGTCACTTGTTTCATAAAAGCTGTATTGATCCGTGGTTGCTTTACCATCGTACATGTCCAATGTGTAAAAGCAACATACTAAAGTCACTAGGAGTTGTAAGTATTTTGTTTAAAAATTTGTTTTAGCTTGTAAAGTTTAAATAATTTAATAATATAACATTAAATTCAATAATATTTATATATTTTAATATTTATTAATAAAATTAACTACTACTATGTTACTTCTGTTACTTTTACAAATAGTTAATTGTTTTATCAGTATTCTTACTAATATCAGTATTTTTACAAATGAGTTATTTTCAAAGGGATCCCTAAGTGCTATAAAGATACGATCTCATATGAAAGAGCATTAAAAAAAAATGTTTGATGTATATTATTTTTTCTAAAACGTTATAATGAACACACACTAACAAATTTAATTTTCAAAAAAACGCTTTTCTTCGATTAAAAAAAATGCGTCTTGTCCAAAGTTTATTGACTCTATTGCTTCAAAAAACTAACGTTTGTACGTCAAATTAAACAAAGTAGACAAAATGTCATTATTGCAAACGTATTTGTTGGTAATTAAATTTAAAAGTAAAGTCGTTTTTTTTTTAACTAGCACATAATTACAAGAATAAGTTTTGTAAAAATTTTGTGAAAATATATTTGTGAAAATTTTGTGAATTTTGTGAAAATATATTTGAAAATATTTTTTTTTATAATTTTTATTTATATATTTGTGTTATAAGAGCAATTCCACGGCCAAAAATGAATAGAAGTCAAATTTTACACTCTTTTTAGTCAGTTTTTAACAAATGAACATTGATGTAGACACATGAAAGTTTATTTAAAATATTTCTTTAGTACAAAAATAAATTTATTTCAGTCATTTTTATGGTTTCGAAAATGACGGTTATTCTTGATAAAAAGAAATAATTATTGTAAAATGTTTTAGTTAAATTAACATTTATGTTAATTTTGATATATATTTTTTCGGTTCAAATTGATAAGGTTGAATAGACATTTTATTAGAAATTAAACTATGATAGGGCTCGAATTAATGCAAAAAAATCTAATCACGAAAAAAAATATTTTTTTGCTCCCCCCTCTCTCTTATAGCTCGCGCCAATGTGCAGTAATGGGGGGAGGGGGTTGCGTTAGTATAAAACTGTCTCTTTAGCACATAATTGTTGTCTTTTAACATATTATCTCTCATATTTAAATGTTATCTTATGATTTTCTTGTTTGGAGTTTAAAATAGCGTAAGTTACTGTTATAATTTACACCTTAATTTATAATTTAAAGTTTAAGTTGCAGTTACAGTGTAATGAGTAAGTAATGTATTTAATACTGTTAATTAAGTAATTGTTTTTACTTAACATGTTACTTAGAAAAGTAAAAGTAAAAAAATAAGAGTAAAAAGCAAACATTACTATATTTCAGTGACAGATTCAGGGGAGGATGGAGGTATGCACCCCCCCACCCCACCAGAATCTGAAAGTCTGTTTTTTGCTTTTTTTTTTAGGAGACGCAAATTTGGAATTTTGTACGCATGGTACAAAATTCCAAAATATTTAAACATCTCCCCCCACCAAAAATTCCTGGTCTGTCAATGCAATATTTAAACCACTTTAATTAGTCATAGAAAACTGTTTAATACGATCATGCTGACAGCAAAACACGTGTTTTAATGAGCATTTAATTGTTATTGTAAAAAGATATAAAACAACAATAAAAAAAAAGGTTTCTTTAAAATATAAATAGCTTGTGTTAATGTAAAACATCTTTGTGACGCTGTTTTGTTGCTGTTTTATACAGTTTAATAACATAAAATGCTTTTAAAATAAAAAGAAGCAAATAAATAAAATTGTTTTAATTAATAAATTAAAAAATTATTGTCAATAAATCAAAAAACATCGTCAAAAACTTAATAAAAGATTAGATGCCACGTTTTTTATAATTTATTGTTTCTTGAATAAAGGACTAATAAAAGTTTAAATATAATTAATTTTTTTTATTTAAATGGTTTTTGAGTTGATGTTTTTATTCAATTTTTCTATTTCAATTGCAGTGGCGGATTAAAACTTCTTGGGGCCCGGGGCTATTTTTGTTTTTGGAGGCCTTTTTATGGGTCAGAGCCTAAAAATGACTTTTTTTAAAAAAAAAGGTCCTCTAAAATTTGCGGGGCCCGGGGCTATAGTTCCCCCTAGCCCCCCCTCCCTTGATCCGGCACTGTTCATTTGTTTTCCAATAAAAAGTGAAACAAAAAAATTTGGTTTAAAAAATTGAATTATACTTCATGTTTAAAATAAGGCTAAAAAACGTTAAAGTAAAAAAATTGCTGGTTTTTATTGGCATTTTTATACTGTTTGAAAAAAAAAAACTAATAAAAAAGAATTAACTAATAATATATTAATTAATAATTATTAGAATTAATAATAATAATAATTAATTCTTTTTTATTAGTTTTTTTTTTCAAACAGTATAAAAGTGCAAATAAAAGTCAGCAATTTTTTGCTCTAACGTTTTTAAGCCTTATTTTAAACATGAAGTGTTGTTAAACAAAGATAAAAACCAGGCTGTTTTGTTAAAATAAAGAAAAAATTCGAATTAACGTCTTTTCCCTTTTCAACTTTTTCGCTTTAACGACCTTTTAAAAATTTTCCACGCAGAGATTTAAAGTAATTTAAATTCAAAAATGTTTTACGTTGAAAGAAAATCTCTGCCCGAAAGAACAAATCATCTATTCATCTATCTATTCAGAATAATAAATTTTGTGTGACGTTCTTTATGATAATAAAATTACTTTTAAGAATTGCTAAAAAAATGCTAAGCGAGAAAAAAAGTAGTTAAACAACCAAAAAAAAACAAATCTCGAAAAGACTTTTTTAAGAAATAATTAATCGCGAAAGTGGGAAAAGCAATCACGATCGCGATACGCTTAATACAAGCCCTGTAAGACTTATTTATAAATTCTAAACTATTTAAAACTATTACTTAATAACTTTTTTTAACGACATCTTTCAACCAAATTCTATTATACTGTTTTTGCAAAACTAATTAAAAAAAACTTGATTAAAACTTAACTATTTAATCGAGACTTTTTTTATTTGAAAATCAAAGTAGATATTCTAAAGTTGTTGTGACGTACTAACGTGATTTTTAACAACTAACAATTGAGTTTCTATGGTAAAAAAATAAAATCAAAATGGAGTTGTTTTTAGTGATTTCGGCGATTCCTTTTAGCATGCATTTATTATTACAATTTAGTGAAAAAGAAAAAAAAAGTTACATATTTTTTTTTATGCTCTTTCATATGAGATCATATGTTAGGAGCGCTTAGGGATCTCTTTAAGGTTTTTATGGGTTTGCTTTTTAGGTCAGGTCAGGTTATCCTGCTGGTAATATGTAACCCAGTACAACCTATTTCATATCCTGCTGCCTTGTAGGATACACTTTTTTTTAGGCAAAGGCTAGGAGAAGCTAACTTCCACTTAAAACCCCTCTTCCTTGGGTGTCTTGGTTGAGTAAAGGCCGGAGATTGTGTCTCACTTAAATTACTCATATTTGGCAGACGTTAAATGCATTCTGCTAATGACATGTAGAAGGCCTCCTAGGCAAAGACCGAAGGCGTAAACAGATTCTATCTGTTGACCAGCCCCACACCCCTATTTCATCTATTAGGCTGGCAATGTATTATAAATACAGGATGTATTTATAATACATTGTTTCCAGTTTTGGATGTTAAATGCTGGATCTTGACTCAATGCATGGGTTTTGCTTTTGTCTCTGTTTTGAAGACTAAGCAACTCTTTTTATTATTTTCTAATGAGAGTGCAACTCTAAAATTCAGTTTTATAGTTCTGAGGCCGGCTGGTAGTCAGGTTACCCGAACTCTGTGGTAGCTCTCAGAGAGGGTGAATCCATCAATAGCTGTAAAGTATCAGAGTACAAAAAGTGCCATGTAGCGTGTTGATAGTGTCCCTGTTTGTACTTTTAGTGTGCATTGTTGAGGCCCCATTTGGAGCCCTTGGTTACAGCTTAGAGTTTATTAATAGTAATCAGCCAATTGCTGGGGCTATTAAATAGTGTACTGAGTACTATCTGTTAATAATAGGAATGAGACAATCATTTAATCTACTAAATAGTGTACTGAGTACTACCTATGCTTTAAGTCAAGTTCTTTAAAAATTTAAAAGTGACTATAGTACCAAAAACACAAAGAACTATTGTCATCACCAAGTTCTCTAAACCTATCATTTACTTATATTTGTGATTTTCAAAGTAACTTTTCTTCTGTTGAGTTTTATCTCTTGCAAAGGTCACCAGACCTATGTGCTCTTTGTGAGACTCTAACTCAAATGGTCAACTTTTCAACTCGTTTTTCAGACAACCCAAATTATTTACCTTCTCTACAAACAAGACGAACAGGTTATAACAGGCAAACATAAGCTATCTTCTTATGGTGTATCAGGTAACATCTTTAAGATTATTGAATCCTTCCTTACCAATTGTTGTATAAAGGTTGTCCTTGATGGAGAGCACACTTCTTCATGTCCTGTAACTTCAGAAGTTCCTCAATGTTCCTTGATTATCTCTATACTCTTTAATTTACATTAACAATCTTCCAGAAGTTCTCCCATCTAAGGTGACATTGTTCACTGATGATACTACCATTTATTCTTGTCTTGATAAGAAGCCAACACTCTCTGATTGCTTGGAGGGGACATTTGAGCTTGAAAAGGATCTTATTTCTGTTACAACATAGGGCTCTTTGTTACTAGTGAACTGCAAGTCAGAAAAACTCTTTAGCTGAAATTAGCGATATCGATTAGCTAAAAAAAAATTATTTTTAGCTAATCGATATTGCAACAATCTAGATCTTCCTATATTTATGAATGGAAATGTAGTTGATGAGTCATCTACCCTTCGTCTTCTAGAATTAACTCTTACCTTGCAATTGAATTGATATACGGTTTCCAAGGAAGATCGAAATCTTCCTTGGAAACCATATATCAATTCAATTGCAAAATTAGCACCTGTTAATGTTGCATCCCTCTATCGTGATTGCCACTTTCTTATTCCTGATTCTTTTTTTTTATAAATCTCAAATCCATCCTTGTATGGAATACTGTTGCTATTTAAAGGGCGGATCTTCCAATGAGGCCTTTTCTCTTTTAGACAAGGTGCAAAGACGCCTTGTAAATATAATTGGTCCTGCTCTTGCAGCCAACCTCCAACCGTTATCACGTCATAATGTTGCTTTTTTTTCTCTTTATTAAAACTCTACTGGGCATTGCTCTAAAGAGCTAGTATCTCCTCGTGCCATCTAATAATATTCATTCTTATGTTACTCGTAATTTAACTAAGTCTCATCCTTTTACTGTTCCTAAGTGCTCTAAAAATTCTTACTTGTCCAGTTTTTTCTCTTGAATATCAGTTCTTTGGAATCTTGTTCTCGTGATTTATATAATTTGCAATCTTTTAAGTCGTCTGTCAATCGTTATCTTGCTCTATAAACTATATCTTTTTCTAGTAACCTCCAACTCCTTTAGTGGTTGCTTGCAGCCTTGTTGGAAGTTAAGTTGTTGAAAAAAAAAAAAAAATCATTAAAAGAAAATAAAGATATTTATGGCTTTATCATTATTTTTGCTAATGTCTATTATATATATTATTATATTGCAATGGCGTCATACTTTGATTAGGAATTACCAGATAGTATGCCACTTTCTATAAATGTTGAAGCAGCTTCTGGTGAAATGAATACTATACAATCACACGTTGAAAGGCAAAATGATGAAAGAGAACCTTCTGTACCTCCACAAGCATGGTCTGAACAAGAATCCAACTGCTATTCTTCTTGTAAGTTTCATACCCTATAATATAATTCGATATATTTTTAAAAGAGATATACTTGCCTTTAAATTATTATTTTTAAAAAGTAGGTTTATTGTTTTCAGCTTCAAGTCTCGTTTCAGATACAGAAAGTGATCGATCAACTGCAGCTCTTGTTACTTCAGTAGCTAGAGTGTAATGAATAAATAATATGGTACATTCTTTGCTACATCCAATGGGAGGATATTGCCGAAATAGTATTTTTTTTAGAGCGTTTCGCTGAAAAAAATATGGTTGCTTCTCAAAATTTGAAATTTGATAGCCTTTTAAAAACATCTAAAGATTTTTTTTAATTTTTTTTTTTATCTATAGTTTTCAATCCGTATCTTTTTTTTTTTTTTTTTTAATTTTTTTCTGTTATCTTGATTTTGTACGAAATTCGGTAAATTCAGTAATTCGTACCCAAATCCTTATTTTTATTGATACTAAGAAGCTTTAAGGCTGTTTGTATTTTAACTTTTTAGCAAATAAACTTTTTATTAAAAGTAATTTACCTCCATTAAATTGTGCATTTCATTTATAAATGAGTGTACTCTAGTTTTATTAAGTAAAGTTAAATTATTTTCTATAAGATTCTTTTGTTAAATTATGTTTCCTTCATATATTGCTTGATATTAGTTATTATGCAGTAAAAAAGTAAGATGGTTAATCGTTAAGCTGCAAATGTAAATTGTATCAAAAAATATCGACCAAGTATTAGCATATTTGTCGGTTTTGTTTTTATTCTAAAAGGTTATTTTTATATATTGGTTATTTATTGTTGCTTTTCTATCATTGATATGTAAATAAAAAACAATAAATTTGTTCTCATTGTTATTAATTTGAGTTTTTTTTAATGTCGGGTTTTTCATGCGTGTGCTTAAAACCACTCAAAATCCAAAGTTAATTTTTTTGTTTTGTTTTTTTATTTTAGTTCAAGATTAACAGAAGTTTTTCGAATAATTAAGAAAATACATATCTAAACTCAAACACAATAACACTTTTTACGTGTTTTGGACGACTATGGTTGCTTGTATTAAATATTTTGTGTAGCAACGGTTGTTAAGGTAGTAGACTACAAAAGAAACAATTTTTTTTTAGACTAAATTAATTTGCTGTAATTTAAATTAAGTTGCTGTAAATAAATATTTTTTAGTCTGAAGGCTAGAATGCAAAATATGGGACAGAATAGCAAAATATGGGACGGGATAGCAAAATATGGGACGGGCAATATCATGTGATGAATTTGGTATAGAGCTTAATATCAGTTGATGAATTTGATTTAGCTGCATACATGAAGCATTAAATTCAAACGTGAATTACATTCTAAAGCTGATCAGAAGGTTTTAAATGGTTATATTAGGTCTTTGCTTGCATTTCGTAAAATAGGAATTGGTCATAGCACATGAAAGTGCTATGACCTTCTCATTATACACATAATCCAATAAAATGATCCAAAAATCCCATTTAATTTTTGGATCATTGATCCAAATATTCAATCTATTTTTAAGTGAGGAGCAAAAATGTGCCAAAGAAGTAGTTGTAGAAAAATGCTGCAACAGGTTTCCCTGTATAACCTATAGATTTTGGCAGCCTTATCTACTTCATACTTTAACGGCAATGCATTCCAATGATTTACTATTCGATTAGTAAAAAAACTAGCTCGCAATTTTGAACAAACTATCTAGTCATTTTTAGATAATGTCATCTAGTTTTAATTTTATTTAACTCCCCAACACGAAGGACATGGGGTTCACTCCATGAGACAATGTCTATATTGTTAATAATTTTATAGGCCTGTATCAAATCTCCCCTAATACGAGGGGTTTCTAAAGAAGTTAAGTTTTGTATGACATGGCGGTACGAAGGTATTAAACAGGTAGCTTTTCTTTGTACTTTCTCGGTTTTATCAATATCTATTCTTGATGATGGATTGCTGGCTGCTACCGCAAATTCCAGATAAAGTCGTACCAAGACTGTGTTAGAATTTTAAGTAGTTTCGGAGTCATGTGACTGAAAGTACGATACAACATGCCTAATACACGCTTGATTGGTTGCAAAATTTGAATTGTTATGCCATTTTAAGTCCGGCGTAATCATAATGCCTAAATCACGTTCGACTAAAGTCGATGCTAGTTCGACACTGTTATTGTTATTAGCTGACATTGAGTAGATTTTTTTTGTTGTTTTTTTTTTTTACCTATGTGCATAATTTTACATTTATCGAGATTAAGTTTCATTTTCCAGGTTTTACACAATTAGGCTATGTTGAAGATATCACTTTAAAGTTTTGTGAAGCTAATGGGTGATCTAAACGGGCCAGCAGTTTTGTGTCATTAGCATACATTTTACATAGATGGTTAACAATATCGGATATATCATTCACAAAAATGATAAAAAGTATTGGACCTAAGACGGATCTTTAAGGGATGCCACTAAATACCTCAAACCACCAAGAAACATAATCACCCATCACGATTCGTTGAAACCGCTGGTGTAAAAACGATTTTATCCAATTCAGGAGATTTCCAGTAAAACCATATGCCTCAAGTTTTTACATTAGTCTCTTGTGGAGAACCATTTAAAATGCTTTACTAAAATCTATAAAAGCTACGTCCATAGATATCTTGTCAGATAATACTTTTGACATCATGTCAATCGATATTCGAATCGATAATCGAAGTCATACATGCTTTTTTATTGACAAAATCATGTTAATTTTTTGTGTCATGTTCGACTAGATGATTGACCATGATGTCACGTAATATTTTCTCCATCATTTTAAACGACTCAGCGAGGATATCAATAAAATCACTTGAAAGAGTATCTCTGTTGCTGACAATTGGAATACTGCTCAAATCCCAGTTAATCCCTGGCAAATTAAAGTCTCGACAAATCAACAAGCCGCTAGACAGAAGTTCATTTGCTTTAATAATGGACGCTTCAATATTCTCGAGTGCATCTAGCATTTGTGACCTGTATATGCAACCCAGAAGGATGTGTTCGGAACCATATGATATATCGCACCAAATTTGTTCAGGGGAATCTAATAAAACAATTTCGCTTACTTCATTAGGTTTTAATGAAGTGTCAACATAAATATTCACACCACCTTCTGTACCGGACACGCGATCTTTTCTAAATAACATATAGTTTTCAATGTTAGTTATCAATGATTTATGCCTCTAAGTTTCTGTAACGAAGATTATTTTAGGCTTGTATGTCTCAATTGATGCTAGAAACTCTGGCATTTTATTGTTACGGGATGTAGCATTGGTATAACAGCATGGTATTTTATGGAAAACTAACTGTTATAGTAGACTGTTAGTTAAAAGTGACTTATGTTCTAAAGGAATTTCGTTTAGATTTAAATTGTCATTATATGGTTTTAAATTACTTATTGTTGATTGCTATATGTCTACTTTAACCACAGCATTTTTATGAATAACGTAGTAATGACTTGTCGTCGCCCAGTTGTTTTTTAAATTGAGAAGCTCGTTTTTCGTTTTCAACTCGTCTCGTAATTGTCTATCTTGTCTTCTTTGTGCTTTTGTCAGATTTGGATTAACATAGATGCTTTCAAATTTATGCCGGGCTGTATAGATTTAGCCGAGAAGTATAGATTTTAGTGACTAATCATAATTTATAAAATTTTGAGACAAAGAGGTTTTCTGTATAAAAAGAAAATTCAAATAAATTCTTTGAATAAGGCAATTTTTCCAATTGTAAATAAAAACTTAGTAGTTAAAACTGAGTTAGACCGTTTTTGATAAAATCAAACAAAATTCTTTTAACACAAAATTCTAACTAACTAGCACAAAATTCTAACAATAAATTCTTTTAACACAAAATTCTTTTAAATAAACTAAAAATTTACGGAATAGGTGGTAGTGTTATATATATGTTAAGTTATATATATATTTTTTAAATTTGCATGAAAGCTATTTAAATAATCAAAAGCAATTTTTATATGTTGATGTAGTATCATCAGTAAACTTGCTTTATAATATAGCCTGTGGAGTTCCTCGGGATTCAATATTAGGTCCTCTTCTCTTTCTTATTTTCATCACAAAGTTTCAAATTTAATGATGATTATGTTTGCAGACGACAAACTTATTTTTATCTCACAATGATAATACATTACTATTTCATAATACGAATAAAGAACTAGTAAGAGTTTCTGATTGGTTTAAAACAATATTAACTTAATATTAATGAAATAATATATTATGCCATATAACACGCCACCTTGTTTTATTGAAAAATTACTTTAAAAAAACTAAAAGTTACCAACTTACATAGTCTGACATGAAAATATTACATAAAAAATTTGAGTTGTAAAAGATAAAAAAAGGTTGAAGTCTTATATAAAGCAAGAAATTTTCTAAATAAGCACTCTTAATTTAAACTCTATTAAACTATGCAAACATTGCATGAGATAGAACTAATAAAAATAAACTCGAACCAGGTTATCGTCAACAAAAACTTTTTGCACGTCTTATTAATTTCAAAGATTGATTAGTTCATGCTTTTATTAATTAAAATAAAAGTTTTAATACATATGACCTAAATATTTTTAATATTATTTGCTTTATGTTTAAATGTAAAAACAATCTGTACTTGAATACCGAAAAAGAAAAATACAACTTACGAAATGATAACGACATTTGTAAATCAGCCTATCAAACTAACTTTAGAAAATCCTGTATTTCGAGGAACCACGTATAAAGAGTTTTTACTTTAGAATATATAATATATTTAGAATATAGAATATAAAAAAAGTGTCTTTTTTGTGCTCTACCACCTTAATTAATGGAAAATTTAGACTTTTCTCAAGAGTTTAGCTATTCAACTTTCAAACAAAAACATAAAGGTCATTCATTGATAGATAATATGTCTATATTCTTTTGACTTTTTAAAAAATTTTATATTAAGTTTTACATTATTTTTTATAAATTTTTGCATATAAAACTTGCAAATTTAAAATTAGCATCAAAGGCCTTTTTAAGAAGGTCTTGTTTTTGATAAATATAAAATTGTAAAACGCATCTTTATATTTATAATGATATATTTTTTAATTGTTTTATTTTAAATTTTGTTTATGTTCTTAATTCTTTAATTAAATGTTATCTATAAGCTTGAAAGTTGTGTTTTTTTATTTCTTATTGTAAGTTTCTTTATTTATTTTGTGAATATTTTTTATTGTGAATTTTTAACACCTAAATATTTTAGCGGTTCTTGACGACATGACCTTACGTTTCTCTACGAGTCCTCGTGTTCTTTTATTTCTTAATAACAATCATTTAAATTTTTATTATATTTCTGTAACTTATATTTTATAGTTGATTGCTTTTTTTTATTCAATAAAGAACAAACAAACAAAAATACAGAGATTGGTAAAAAACTAAGCTATTTTCTGTTGAACTAAATTCTCTTTATATATAAACTAAAACTCTCTTTATATATCAAACTACACTGATTTTTGATATGATAACAAAAAAAAATTAGAACTTGCAGAAATTTTTCAACCAAATAAATCCAATTATGTTACTTGTACTTTTTAAGATGAATATTTAAAAAAAAATCAAAAAATTCATTCTGCTTATTCTTGAAGAATATGGAAAAAAAAGGCTTCTAACGAATAAAAGTTATATAATAGCATTTTCAAATCACAATAAAAAACTTCAACAACTTGCCCTACAACCAATGTAGTCCTAATAAAGTAAACACTAAATAATAAAATTTAAATTGTTTAAATACTTTTAGAAAACAAGAACAAAACAAAATTACTATAGAGTTAAAAAAAATTACAATGATTTTTTAATTATTATTTTAGGTGCT